AAAGTAAACTTTCATATATTTAATATATATGAAAATAAATATCATAATTATTTCTTACCTGCAGGAGGACATGGTTTTTCCCAGAATGATATGTCATCAATAGCAATTATTTTATTAGTATCACTTCCCATTATTCCTTCAATAATTATCTGAAATTGTAAAAAAAAGAAGTATGAAAAGAACATTTATATTAAAATATAGTTCATCGAAAATTTGAATTCCATCATCAAAACATTAACGATCACATAAGATAATTGTATATAAGCATAGTCTTTTAGTATCGTGAAGCATTATGCTTCACGATATTAAAAGAAGTGTATATTTGTAAATGACATTCAATAAAATTGATTGTTTTGTCGTAATATACTACTGTGTTTATCTGAAGTATTATTTTATCCGACAAGAAATCTGTAAATAAAATTGTACTAAGAAGCTTCATTTTTCAAGTTATATACATCAATTTTATTTTGTAATTTTTAACTTTGTTCAGTAAGTAAATTTGTTTAATATTGGATAAATTAGACTCTATTAATGTTTTTAAGACACAATGTTTGTAACAGACAGCATTTTTTTTTACTTGAAATGTTACATATTCTATAAATTACATTAAATAATTTTCAGACTGCAATTTGAAAAACTTGTAGACTTATAAATTCTCACTGTTGTCTGTCCTTTCTTAATCTTGAGAATGGTGTTAGATAGATAAAAGTTGAGACAAGATATGGAAAGCTTAGGGGCAGAAGGCCCCAATTAACTATATACAAACTTTTGATCTAGACAGGAAATTATGTAAAATTTTCTCCAGAATAAAGTTGCATAGATGACTGGCATGACTCTGTTGTTATCAGGAAAAGTGTGATGTACAGGAGCAAGACACTAATTTGAGGTGGAGAGCATTGCAGACTGGCATTGTGTCAACGTTATAGGAAATAATTGCTTGTCAATTACTAGATTGTTTACTTGTATACTAATCTCTTAAAATTGAAGTCAAAGATATTTTGTTTATATATTAAACAAAATACAGTCACTGCCTGACTTAAGGGTCATTTACATTAAGTAAGTTTAGTCAAATTTATTCACTGATTACAATAGCCAAAATAATTACAGTGAACATGTTTAATAAACTTTCTCAATGTAATTACTTCAGCTAGTAAACTTGCTTGATTATTTATCTGAGTGAATAAAGTTGAAGACCAGGCTACTTTTGTCACTACATGCTTGCAAGTTACTCTTGGACTAGGAAACTCATTTTGTGTAATGATGGCCAGTAAGTTAGCATGCAGAAGATGTACATCTTTTACTGGATGAAGTAAGTCGTATGGGAATTTTAGCTTTTGTGTGTATTTTGAGAAATAGACTTTCAAGAGATGATCGAATAAAAAAGCAAAATGACAATTTTCTTCAAGAAATCTAGATTGTTTCTTTCAGAATTACATGTAGACTTTTTTGAGAAATGAGAGAATATTTTGTCTTTTAGACAAAAAAAATTATTTTTAAAATCTAAAGTTAAAGTTAGACTTGGCAATATTTCATATTATCACATAGTTTAAAAAATATACTTTATTACTTTTTAGTATNGGCGAAACAAAAAAAAGAGACATTCTTGGTCTAGACCTTGTGGTGGACAGACATCGAATGTGGTGCTCCAGGTTGCAAATGGCAACGACTGGAGAATTTGAGAGGGTTTGAGAATTGGAATCTTATCATGGTTATGATAAAAAGATGTAGTAATGAGTTTCAGAATTACATGTAGACTTTTTTGAGAAATGAGAGAATATTTTATCTTTTAGACAAAAAAATTATTTTTAAAATCTAAAGTTAAAGTTAGACTTGGCAATATTTCATATTATCACATAGTTTAAAAAATATACTTTATTACTTTTTAGTATAGACTTGAAAGCAAAGTGAATAAGTGAATATATTAGCTCAGTGTAATTGATACTTGCTGTGTTTGTATAAATTCATTCACTCTTTTGTGAGTTTACATGCTGGTAAGTAATTAGTAAACAGACATAATATAATTAATCCCTTACCTAACAACTGCATTCTATATAACTTTATGCAAGTTGAATTTCTGTAAATGCTTATGGAGTACTTACAACTATATGCAAGTTAAAGTTGACTGAAGCAAAAAAAAAAAAATATTTTGAAGAACATATAAATAGGACAATTTATTAATTTACAATATTTTAATAAATTAAAGTTATTTGCTATTCATACTCATTACTTTTTATTATTAAGTTAGAGATCTAAAAATTAGAAATTATTTCCTACGTAACACAATAAAATATGAATTACTATCAAAATATGTACTAACCGTATGATTATAACTGCTTTTTATTGTTCTCTGAGCCATTTTCCAAGAATGTGCCTGTGATCCGGATCGTGACCAAACTGTATCATTTCCATTCACTGTATCTACAATAATATTTAGAGTACCAACTAAATTTCCAAACATATGGTACCATAAAATTAAACAACGTCCAGCAGTAGTTGAATTTTGAGGTGGCGAAATTAAATGGGCTCTTCCACCACGTTTATAATCTCTAGTTCCACCAATGAACATATAATAACCTATAAAAACAGAAAGATTATATGTTTACAATAAGAGCTTAAATGATAATTTCAATATATTGTGAAAACATATTCTAAAAGTCAGTTTACAAAGAACAATTAATATATTATAAAGAAAAACTTGTTTCACAAATAATATTATGATAACTTAAGACAGTTCATCCTGGAAAAGATTCATAAAATGGGCATTGTTGTTGTCGTTGTTGAGAAATACTGATTTTAAATTCTTTATAGGGTTTATATTTTAAATGTTACGCATTCATTTTCAAAGTTAAAAATTAATTTAAAGTACTAACACTAGAACAATTGACAATAAAACCATATCTTTCATACTTTTCCAGTTTGAGGTATGGTTTTAATATTAAAATTCAGATTATTAAGTGAATTATTACTATCTTGATAATTGCTTTATTCTTATTTAAATTTTTATTTTCAATATTAGATTTCTGCATTTTTTATAATATACAGTTACAAAGTTTTAAAGCAAGATTAAATAACTTATACAGTAGTCTCAAAAACTCGGCACTCGATAACCCGGCAGTTCGAATAACTCGGCCACACCCTGGCAGGGCAAAAAATCCTTAGTTAATTAATTTTCATTATAAACAGCTTCATGCCTCATAAAGTATTTTTCTGAGGTCTGTCTTATCAAATAAATTATTGTACACAGTGTATTCATTAATTTTCATTTTCATTTAGTGAAGGCTCTATGCCTTCATAAAGGACGTACTTTTCCTTTGTTTAAGGGTATTCGGGCAATTTATTCTCTGTTGTATTCTCAAGTAAACAATACATACAAGTACAGTACAGTATTTTCTGAGGAAACACTCATACTTATTTTTTTTAACCCCATTCCCGATAACCCGGCATTTTCACAAACTCGGCCACCCTTCGGTCCACATTAGGCCGAGTTTTCGAGACTCTACTGTACCACACGTTATAAATATAACATCAATTATAATTTAAATATAAATTCATTTATACTTCATTGATTATAAATTATATTGTAAAAATGTTATCCAATAATCATGATACATTTTTAAATTTTAAATTACATTTTTAATAATAATGACTAACCTCTACCACTATGATCACTTTTTGGTCCATTATCAAAAGCACTTCTAGAACTTTTTCCTAACATCCATTCAAAATCAGTTCCGTCGTTTTTTTTATACCAATTACATTCTTCTTCTTCAAACGTACAATTTAAATCTGAAAAAATTAAAATCATTCAAGATTAAATTAATTTATTTTAAAATCAATGTCCAGTTCTGCAAACTGTAGAATAAAACGTGTAATACGGTAATATAAAATTTTACTTTAAAGAGTATTACATTATAAAAAAAAAAGTTGAGAATTACCAATATTAATTAGAATTCTTCTAAATTATCAAAAATTTCAATTAAGAAGATAAGATTAATTCTATTATGTAATAGATCTAAGGCTAATATTATTGCAAAATTTCCACGCAACAATGTTTGCCTTAGATTTATCAGATAAAGTAAACTTTCATGAAAATCATATCACCCTATTAAATTATAGTAAATGACAATGGCATACATAAGAATTGTATACTCAAATGGTGTCTGAAAATTCACAAGATTTCTTGATTTAAAAAGAAAAAAACAAAAAAGAACAAAAAACAGGCATATTTAGAGTCAATCTTCTTCCAACTGTCAAGCATAATTTTATAGGAATGCAACTGATCCACATTAATGCTTTTCATTGCTCTCTCAGTTTCTCTTCACAATAGATTTTCATTAGTGTGGCTGTACGCCATATTAATTTAGGTATAGTTTTAGTCCTCTCCTTTGTTCTTTGTTTCTTCCTCTTTCCAGAAAGTTCCTTTCTAACTCTTTTCCCTTGAGTGGAACGACCAATACTTGTAACCACGGAGAACAATGAAAGAAAAGAGGCCCTGGGGCTGGCGAAACAAAAAAAAGAGACATTCTTGGTCTAGACCTTGTGGTGGACAGACATCGAATGTGGTGCTCCAGGTTGCAAATGGCAACGACTGGAGAATTTGAGAGGGTTTGAGAATTGGAATCTTATCAAGGTTATGATAAAAAGATGTAGTAATGAGTACCAATGAGTCGTGCGTCGTCTTCACTGACGGCGACAGTAGACTTTTCAGAAAAAGTTCAACAAGTGGTATCCCACCCAAAATTGTGAAGTCTAGCAAAACCCCGGGTATTTCACTCCTTACTGTATTCTATTTTTCTGGATCCTCTTTTCTCTACCATCTTTTTCCTTTCCCTAGTTTTAAGTTAGCACGTAAGTATTAGTCATAGTTTTCGGTCACTGTTTATATTTGTTGTGAACAGTATGTTTTGTCATTCTATACTGAATTATCATTGGATGCCATGTTGTAAGAAATTACTGCAGAATTGGAATCCAAAAGAACCTGTTCATGTACATGAAATAAAATACTTTGACTATACTGTCGCTTAGTTATTGTTACGTCTTTCCTTTCTCAATCTATGTATGTTTTGCAACAGACTCCCTCAATAATATAATCCCACTCATAAGGGCAGCAATGGTAAAAAGTATTTTTTTTTTTAAATATGGTGTTACCATTAAATATTATAAAATGCAAAATATTCAAATATTATCATCTTTATTTCCATGCAGATAAATAATAAAAAATTCACAACAGAAATAAAACAAGAACATTAAATTTTAATTACTATTATTATAATGATGAACATATCTTATTTGCTTTTTCAGCAGACAGTTGTATGCATACAAACAATAAAGCCAAAAATGTTCTCTTGTATTAACTATATTATAGTTTTAAATCTTTCAAATTTTCAGAGGCAATTCTATTTTGGAATGCTTTGAAAATTCTTATATGCAGTGATGTTTGTAAACAGGAGAGTATAGTACATGCCCAGATTTACAGTATATCCAAAACTTAAAAGAGAAATTTAAGGTGTTAGTTTTAATAAAGAATGTGCATCAGATCAAAGTTGTGTCATCTTATTGGGCATTATTCTTGCTCTTCATTTTTAGGGGGTTACTGCATAAAGACTGCCAAGCCATAGATAATGTAGTGCAGTTTTTATGATTAATGCATGCAACCTTCATACTTATTTTAAAAATCTCCAAAATTTCTAATGTTCTCAGAGAATGTTCTTCAAATACCAGTTTTATGAAAGTTGCATTATCGTGCTCAACTGACAAAGCTGGTTCACCGGCATATTGTGCTAAGGCAGTACACAATTTGTTAAAACCTATGTCATACTGGTGTTCCTTAATTCTCCACTCTATGGATCTATTAGTGGATCCTAAGTACACCATTTGTCAATTAAACCTGTTGTCCATTACAGGTATTGAGTAAACACTTGGGTCTTATCCATATCCATTTTTATCTTAACCATTACTTAATATTCAGAGAATTGTGGCATTCCAACAGTAAGTTATATCAACATTGCAGACTCTAGCTATTAGATTGTAGATGAAAGTAAGTCTGTGGTTATGGTATGCATAGTTTAGATTGTCACCATTCACTATTATTGAAAGTTTCTTCCATTTTTTATCATATTTTCTATAAGTTGTCTATTATACACATGTGCAACTGCAATGTTTTTAATGTATTCCAGTTCTTTCATCTTGCTTGTAACACTTTAGCAGTGTGTATGGATGGGCCATTCTAACCAATGCCCTAAATGCAGCCGCCTTATAATGAAATGAATCATTGGAGCTTTCCAGAATATATAATGAATTATATGTATTATTGTAGTAGATCCATGTTTCTATAAGGCCTTCTGTAAATGTTATGTCCAGAAAATGTGCTTTGTTGCTGTGCTGATCTAATTCAACAGATAAGTCATATGTGTTATTATTAAATGCACAGACAACTGCAACATCAGGTTTATAGTTCCAGATGATACCTATATCATCAATGTATCAGCTGTAGAAAATGATATTTAGTATAAATTCCGGCAACACAGTTTGTTCTAATTTCCTAACAACCATTTCACATAAGTCCCCTGAGAATGGATTCCCCATTGCTGCAGGTACCTTTGCAAGTATCCAATAGCTTCATCCAAAAAAAAAAGCACCAATAAAAATTAACTCTAAAATTTCTATAATTTAAATTTTATTGAATAATGATGAAGCTAATTTCATTAAAACATTACAGAAGTTAGAACTTTATACATTAATTTACATTTACCACACAACTTCCAGTACATTGAGTATTCAACTACAAATGTTTTTAGCTTCATTCAGAGGCTCTCTTCGGGTAAAATAACAAGAAAGATTTATAGTTCTACTGAGTTTCTATATATTATAAGTTATTGAATATCCTGTTCTAAGTCAATCTAATCAACAAGTCAATCTAGCTGTTAAAAAATTTTGCTGTGGATTATAAATCTGAATATTAGAATTATAAAAAGTTGATATAGTTATTAAATATTAATTCACACCTCGTTGTGCATATTCACATAACTTACCAAGCTTATTCTAGATTTAACCTATCCTTATTATTAATTCAGCCTACAATACAATCCTATTTGTAGATCTCAATAGTTTCAGCAATTTTAAGTTATGTTCTGTCAAACATCATCCTTAAAAGTCTAGCTTCAGTCCAGCATGGTATTATTTCAGATTCTGATGCAAATTGGGCCAGAGTAGTCTTGTGATTATTCTTATTTATATCATATATGTGTTCTTTAAATCTAGATGCTAGCGACCTACAGGTAGAGTCTACGTATGTGCATTAAATCTAGTATCCGCTAGCTGAAAACACTTGTGGTTGAATACTCAATGTGCTGGAAGTTGTGCGGTAGGTGTAAATTAGTTAGTATTCATTTTACATGAATTTATTAATTAAAATTCTAAAAGAATATTTTAAATTAAATGCTTAGAATATGGATACATTATTAAAAATGTTTTTAGTGCTTATGAATATTGTAAATATGCTTGCGATATCAAAATAAATGACTGAGATGATTTTTGCTTTCATGATATTTTTTTCATTAGTATGTAGGGTTGCCAATAAGGATGCAATGGTCAAGATGGAAAGAATGTCAGTGGGTGTGACTGGCACTGAAATAGACACAACAGTCACAAGAAACCTTTCTTTTTTGACACTAAAGGAGCTAAGAAAATTTCCATAATCTGAAAGTTCAGAATTGATGGTGGTCTTTGGGTCTTCCTCTCCTTTCCAAGATAGTCCCAAATGAAGTAGTGTCCCTGGTTTGCAAATGAGAGTTCCTTCAATGTCGTCTTGACAGCTCCAGGATGATGCAGTCAACTTCTGGTGATGAGAAGATGTTGATCCAAGGAAGGGAAACAAAGATAGCCACAAGACACACACACAACAAATGATCTGACACTTAAAATTTTCAGAAAAAGTCATTACATCCTTGAAATTTGGAGTTTTTATTATTTTCTGTCCTTAATGCCCATTTTGTTTGGTTGCTTTTCCTCGTTCTCACTTTCTATGTGGTTGGTCACTCGTTGCTAAGTGTAACAAGATCTCAACTTAGATTATGGGAAAGGTCAAAATCGACATTTAATTTGATCTCAACTGGGGATAGTTGTAAAAACTTTATATACTAATGTATGATGCCAAATATAGTACAAGGAAGAAAATGTACTGTCTTTCCTCAAGCAAAGAATAAGCTTTAAGATGACATTTTAAAATGTTAAAAGTATTTGTGTATATTTAATTCATCAAGTAAATAATTTTAATGCCAAAAGACAGTATATTTTCTTCCTTAAGGAGATGATTGATCTTAGAACTTGTATTCTTCTATCGTTATGTTTGCATTACATTTTTCATACAAAAATAATTATTTTTATCTTTTTTTTTCTTTCAAACATATTTTAATGTGAATTTTTATGAGGAGTTCAAACCTATCCAGAGCCTCGCAACTAAATAAAGCTATAGAAAAATGATACAATAGGACAACAGCAAACTAAGCATTGTTAAATAACATGTTTCAAGTGTTACAAAATTATTATACACTTTTCATATACAATTCATTATAGAATTATTCCATAAATGTAAAATTCACTAAATAAGTATTTTAAAAACTTTTACTTACTTAAACCATAACTTATTCTTGGATTACAGTGTACATATCGAATATCATCAACAGCAACATCTGCAACTGATGTAAAAAACCAAGTTCTTCTTGGGGAGGAAACTATTTCAAGCTAATTGAACAAATAAATTTAGAAATATACTAATTTAAATAAATAAATTAACATATTATTTTGAAAAAAAAAGCCCAAAAAAAAAAACAATAACAAGGTTATTTTCTCTATAAATTTATTTCATTATAATTATAGAACTTAACCCGAGATCATATGCAACGTTTTTTAACAGGCAATAATACAGGTGGTGATTTTCAGCCGATTTTTCATGCATTATACTGTATATAATTGTTATTCCTCAAATTTGCCAATTCTGAAAAACCCAATAATGTATTTTGTTTTGCATGTGCCAAATTTCAATATCATATGTTGTTCAGTATTTGACAGAACAATAGTCTTGTTTGTGCTCCCATAGCTCCCATTTGCATAGGGAGCACTTCGAACTTTGCAAAAACATGGACGAATGTGAAAGTTCACCTGGAAATAGACAAAATGGGGGATCAGGTGCTTCTTAGAAAGATCAGAAAATGATTTTTCTATATATTTTGGGCACAAAATAAAGCCATGAAAACATTTATATTGTTAAAAGACATAGTGCCCAAACTATCTCACAGAGACAAGCATTCAAAGCCATAGTGATTTGCAGACCATCATGTCATAGTACACAGCTGACACACATCCATGACATGATTACCTGTTGTGGCAATTATACAAGACCTTTATAATGTCAGGTTACCAAAAATGACATCAGAGTAGAACATAAAGTGGCAATTCTTCTACTCTGATGTCATTTTTGGTAACCTGATGACACTTCAATTAAATGGAATACATTTTAAATGGATACTCTTCATGGGATCATGTGACAATAACAAAAAATTGTACACAATTGCATGTCTAAGTGGTGATTTTCTGCAGCAGATTTTAAGGGTCTGTGATAAACGGGCATGACAGATAGCATGTAGCATAAAGATATCATGGAAGTAGAATCAAGTAAGTCAACCAGATAAAAAACGCCCACAAAAAATTAGTAGGTATGGTAATCACCATTTAATATTGTCAGTAAGTAAAATTTTTATGCAGTGGTGGTGCGCTTGACCAGTTACGTTCAGCTACATTAGCATTTTAATTTTTGTACTAGTTTGAATTCAACGTGTCCTAAGATTTGTTTGTCATCTGAAACACTGTAGAAGCAAGTAATTTTGATTTTGTTCTTTTTGATTTATAATTATAAAGTAGTTCAGTTTATTTTCATTTTATTTTCTTTAATGTATTTAATAACCTTAGTTTTATTTTTAGAAAACTGTCTATCTTTATTTTCTCTGTGACAATATACTTTTAAAAAAACTTCAGGTTTTTAAAATATAAAGTAACAGAAATACAAAATTTTAAACTATGAAGATGACCAATGTTCATTTTCATTAAAAGTTTACATTATATAGAAGTTGTTTAAGTCTGTGTGTATCAAATGCGTTTTTCACTTATCAGTTATTATTGGTTTCAACTATGAAATGGCTACATTGAGACAGTGAAGCTTCTCCAATGCAAGTGTATAATGACATCTTGGTAACTCTTGTGGAAGCCAACCCAAAACAAACATCATGTGAAATGACAGATTTGGAAGTGTTCTTACGAGACAGTACAAAAACACTGCAAGAAATTGGCATATTCTAAAGCATTTGGGTTCCACATCAGCTTTCTGAACAAAACTGCAATCAATGACTGCTGACTTCTTTAAGAAAGTAATCCATAATTTGGTGATGAGATGAAAAAAAGTTATAGAAATTGAGGAGGATTATATTCCTGATTAAATCTGTTCAATTTACTTATGATGAATCAATAAAGTCTGTTTAATAAAGAGGATATAATTGACAATCAAATATGTAACTCAATTTTTTCAATCGTAAATGTTTTATGATAAAATGAAAATTTGTAATGATAAGTACTTTTTAACTTTATATCAAAATATAGAAAAATTTTACTGTGCTACATTTTAATAGCAATTAAATTCATGTTGATTATAAAAAAATTCTGTAATATAAATTCACTTGTTCTTCATTATATTTTTAATATATTATTCATGTGTGACTGTGTAGTATTTAATTATCATATTGTTGCATTGTTATTTGATATATAATCTAGCTCGATACTCATGCCAAGTGATGAACAGTAGGAAGCAGAGTTCACAGAGAACGGCATTATTACTAGTTTTTTCTTGCTAGCGCTTTCAATAAATTTATTTTTATCATCTTCAGGCAAATAAAAATTTTGCCTGAAGACAATGAACAGAAATACTCAGAGCTGTTACGGGCCCAAGCAGCAATACTCAGAGCTTGCAGTGACCGAAACTCCTCTTTATATGGGAATCTCTACTCACAACAATCTCAGAAACAGGCAACACACCCACTCTTGACCTGCCCAACATATGGGTTGCCCTAAATAAATGATTAAACAGCAATTCACATTGTCTCTCATACCGTTAGCATGGACCGGCATCCACACATGCACCGTATTAATCATACGTATAACATCGCACACACAACATCGAATATATACGAAATTTGTAGCTGGCTCATAACAACTTTAATCCAAAATTTTTTGTTTGAAGTTATATGCATTCCATTTCCATTCAAACATTTATGTTCGATTTAAAAGTTTTTATTCGCCTGAAGATGACAAAAATAAATTCGTTGAAAGTGCTAGCAAGAAAAAAACTAGTAATAATGCCGTTCTCAGTGAACTTTGATTCCTACTGTTATTTGATATATTAAAAAAATTCTATTCATTACAGAATAAACTATATTTGAATAATAAAGCAGAATAAAACTGAACAGCATTACCTGGTACCCTGCTGGAAAGTTACTAATTTGAATACTTGCTTTCACCCATTCTTTTCCTTGAGCTGACGTTACCTCAAAAAACAGTTTACTATCATATTTATCAGTTGAATTAACCATATTCAACCGAAGATAACCTAAAATCCATTTAAAATATTAATATTTAAATAATGTTTCAAAATTTTATTTGTTTAATTTAAAATTTGTAACATTCTTTTCTTTTAATACTAATTTAAATTTGATAAAAAATTAAATAAAATAATATGATTTTGATATGTAGATAATCAAATCATTTCATAATTTAATGAATAATTAAAAATATTTTAATTCAGATTAGATTAAAATAATTTTTTTTTAATGAATATAAAATTTGAACATATAAGTTAAAGTATAATGTAAGAATATAATTATTTTTCTAACTTATTATTTAACAAAACTTAATTACTAAATTTGATTATTTAAATATTTTCCCCTCCATAAAATAATATTAAAATTTGATTTCAAAGTTATGGAGCATCTTAGAATTGAGGAAATACAATATTTACTATTGGAAATATAATGAAAAAGAATAGAAAACGATAAGAGTGAATCAATATTTAACAGAAGTGATAAAAATGACTTTCTAGAACTACTAACCAGTGCGAAGTTCGACTAATCCATAAAAATGAACGTTTTCATAGTCCCTTCTGGGCTCTTCATCAGGTTTTCTTATGCTAGATCTTCTAATTTCATTTGAGAAAATAAAATTTGAATATAAAATCGTACATTAAGATGAAGTTCGAGAAATGAAATTTCTGCACGAGCTCCCTTAGTCATCTTTAAATAAGAATGAAAACTAAATATCGCTGTCCAGTAAAACCTACCATGCTACTGATAGAGACATCTCTTCCCTAAAAATTATGATGGATTATGTTGAACTTTGCACCAATTAGTATTTCTAAAAAGTCATTTTTTATCATATTCTAGTGTATACACAGATGTGTATTTAAAAGAAACGGTTTCTCAGAAAGAATTTGAATTCATGATGATAATTTATAATTGTATCAATTAAAATTTTCAGCTATAATAATGTTTATTTTGCATATTTTAACAAATTTCTGACAATTTTTGATGGTTCTAGTATTCAACAAATTGTTTTAATAGCTGTAGATTATGTTTCAATTAAATTACATGCATGTAAGATATGCAATCAATTTTACATAAAGATGGTGCTTGGAAATGTATCTATTCTTCTAAATAAAACATTTAACATGTGCCAGCATACGTAAAGTTCAGAGTAGAATCTATGGAATGTAGACTGGTTGGAACAAGAGAAATGGAAGGCCATTAAGAAAAAAATGAAAAGAATAAAGAATCTTCGTATAATTACAATTTTAGTTATTTAAGTCCTTTAGATATTAATTATTATATGTATATATGTAATCTACTGACATGACTAAACCATCTTAATACAAAGAATGACTGATCTGTTCTAAAATATCAAAAAAGGAGATAATTTTTTACATTGTCCTTATGGAACTCTGCTTTAGCAGCTCAATTTACATTAGTTCTGACTACAATTTTAGGACCTTGTTTTTCTCACTACACTAATGTTTTCTAGTGACTAGATTTCTTAATATATACTGTTAATAATAAATCAATACAGATTGAAAACTAAAAAAATGATAATAATTATTGACGAAGATACATAAATTATACACTAACCTTTACTGTTAAAGTGATAATAAAATTCCACTCTACAGCTGTAACTTGTGGATTGCAATATTGGCGTTCTCATTGAAGCAGGAAGTGAAAACATACCTGAAATATAATTTATAAACATTTGAAATGCTTAAATGATTTATATTAAATGAAATATATATGTATTTTAAGTATTTAATATATTCATAGTTGATAAAAGGCTTTTTACATTTTTGCATAATTTAATTACATTCTTTATATAATATGATGATCAGAAGTTTAAAATTATTGTTAGAATTATTCAAGTTTTAATCATATTAAATGATTACAAGATTAACCACTTAAGGAGCAGTTAGTCATAGTGATATCATTTTACTCTCCTTTCTAGTGCTAACCTTCTGTTAGTCTAGTTTGTGTACTCTTTATTCTTTTGCCCACGCAACAAGTTATACGCGTATAACCAGTTTTTTCACAATCTCTGACAGGCCTGTCAAGTTTAACGTTCTTTATGTTGTTGTGTTTGGTACAGCTATATCTATGATGTATGTGATTTTGTTTTTTGTGTGTCAATGAATGTAATGTCTGTAAAGTTCAATTTTTCAATATCCGGAAATAACCTAATATTTATGGCGTTACATAAACCAAAAATGAAAATGAGAGTCAGTTGGTGCCAAGTCTGGACTTTTAAATGGACAAACACGAACAAATTTGTGCAAAAAAGAAAAAAATTGATTAATGTTAGAAAATTTTGATAATAAATATTTGACTATTTGTCCAAAAAAATTAATTAATTTTTTTTATAAGACTGATTATGTACAATTGTTAATACAAAATACGAAAAGAGTTAGAAAACAAGAACTAGACAAGTTATAAAATTCTCAATGAAAATTTATCTAATTCAAATACAAAACTTCCTAACACTTTGGAATTTAGTTATAAGAATAGTTCTAACTCCACAAAACAGTAATACAAAACCAGTATTTACAAAATTACAAGAGATTACTTATGATCTACATCCACCTAACTGTTACACTAAAGAAAAACACCTGAAAATCCTTATTCCCCAATTACACTCACTCAGGAACATCACCTCTCGCTTACAGTAGCTTCACCTCTCACTAACAATAGCTTTATCTCACTTTTCTTCGGTTTTGTTGGGGCTTATACTACCTGGTGTGACGTAACAACAGCTGTCCATTTCAATTCGTTTACTTACTTAGTCTAACATAAATGTTATTTTTCTTTCACAATCTTTCAAACATATTCATTTTCAACAAAACAATTCTGATTTTTAGATTCAGCTACAATTGAAACTAAGAGACCATTCTTTAATTCTGATTTAGAAATCACTCAATATGAGATGATGTGGTAGACTGATGACATAGGAGGTACGAGTGTCGGACATAATTGGTAAGAGTTACTATTTTTTTTCTTTTATTATTTAGACTTTTCTTTCTGGGTTGAGTGTGGAGCTTTCTCCTTTAACCAAATAAAACAATTCCAAAATAAATACTAATAAAAGTAAAATGTGGACTTGACTCCTTACATATCTAGTCTGTGTGATAGATTGTTTGGTTGGTGATTATATCTTTTTTATAGTAAATTTTGTGTGTACTGTTTTCTATGACCATCTGAGATATGTATTTGTAATATGGTTGTTGGGTGTGTAGTAGTTTATGCATGTGTTCAAGCTTTTGCTTTATTATATTTGCTATTTGGTTAGGTCAGTTTGCAATCCAATGTGATGTGTTTTATAGTCTCATGAATGATGTGATAATTCCTGCAAATGTCATCTATGAGTGTTGTGTCATTTAAGATGTTCTTTCTATAATTTCTTGTATTTATGACATGGTGTCAAATGGTAATCATAAACTCTTCTAACTTCTTGATGCAGTTCTGTTAATCTGATCCTAATTGAAATCATTAGGGTTTCTATCATGAAGTTCCTTATGAGTCCATGACTATCTGATGGTGTCTGTGTTTTATATCCTGCATTAGATCCAGGTCTATGTTATGTAATTTTAATGATGTACTGTTTTTGTCTGCAAAAGTTATAGTTTATGTAATTATGATGCTTCTTGTTTTCTGTAAAAAACCTATCTGTATTTGTCTGTAGTGCAGGTTTACAATATCTGTGAGGGCTTATCCTCTATTTTTATGAGGAAGAGTCAGTTTTCCCATGAATAACTTAGGGTAGAGTTTATTGTGTTTCATTAATGTTGTTCATGTTTTCATTTGGAGTTGTTCTAGTTGTGTGTGTCTCCAATGTATGATTCCAAATGAGTATGTCATTATGGGATGATGCATGTGTCTATAGCTTTAAATGTATGTTTTGCACTAAGTTGTGTTATTAGTATTGAGTTTAATCTGGTCTTGTATTCTTCTGCTAATCTTTATTTTATTTATGCCTGTTCTGTGCATTTGGCCTGTTGAAATCTTGAATATTTGTAGACTTTGTCTTAATCCATGCATTCCATAATGTCTCCATTTTTAAGTACAGAATCAGTTTTCCTCAAGATTCTTTTTTTTATGTGTTCTGCATTTTTTTTAGGCTAAATCTTAATGTCTGAGTAAACGTGTGTAATATCTAACTGGTGATTAGCTGTACTTTTATGGATACATAGTTTTACAACATCCATGCACAAGAGTTAAGATTAAAGCCAAACAATCTTGCTGAAATTATTGGGCTACTTTTGGCTACATTAATAATTAATTTGACTAGAGGTATGCAGTTAAGTTTCCATCTCATTAATTTTAATAATTATAAATTATTTTAATTTAAAAATTTCTGGAAGAAAAGAATCGTCCTGGAGCATAACTCGAACCCATAACTCCTGCTTACCACATGATAACTACCCAGACCTCTGTCAAATCTTTGCTTCCAGAACTTAGTTCAGACATATAACCATGCTGGTTAATTATAGTACTGACTGGGAACTGGAAATGACTTAAATTGCCCTTCTACTCCCTTCATGACACTCAGACAGCTGTTAAATTCCCCAAATGTGGTGTATATATATAAACAAAAATTCATAATCTGATTTTAATTAAAGTCAAATGATCTTGCCAAAATTATCACACTAATTTGGCTACATAGCCCAACAATTTCAGCAATATCATTTGTCTTTAATAAAATTGGATTATAAGTTGTTGTTTACATTGTAACTGTATTTATTGTTGTTGAACCTGCTGGAAAATACTTCTCCTTATGTGTATTTTGGTTTGTTTTGATGCATGTGTTGTTAAGTCTGAGGTGTAGTGTTTTTCTCTAGTGTTGTTAATGTTATTATTACAGTGCTGTTTGTTGTTGTTATTGTTATTATTATTATTATTATTTTTATTTACCATCTTTTAAAATGTCATTTAAACACTTGAAAATTTCTAAAATATTTTGCATTATAAACATTTTAATATAAATAAAACTTTTATATGGAAAAAAGTAGATAAGTTAGAAACTAAACTTATAAGAACATTTCAATAATTCAATTTTGAATTAAGTAAGAAATTTACAAAATTTTTCCTAAAAATCTGGCTAAGTAAACTATATGTTTTAAACAGTGAATGTGTTCATGATGCAATCTGAGTTTGAAATTTTCCTATGTCAGACTGTGTGTTCAAGCAAGTGATCCTTATTTCTTATTCTTAGTGATAAATTATTTTACTTTTTCTAGTTTATTCTGTTCCTTCTGTGTGTAAAGTCTGCATCCTGTAAATAATGTGCTTATGTCTGAACTCTGTCATACCATTCTTCCATATGAATATATTATTTTTAGAATGAAACAGTTCTGCTCTTTCTACCAACAAAAGTTTCTAATTATCATTATTATTATTTTAATTTTTATTCTATTGATATATTCTAAATTAGAGAATAACGATATGTTGAACAGTTTTTTAGTTTAAGTATCCTTCTAGGCATTCCTTTAATAGATATTTTCATTGGGTGTATGTAGCATATAACATGAATTAAGTTAAAGGATATACATTAATGCATTGAAATAATTACATTTCAAAAAACAAACTTAATAAATCAAATGAATTCTCTTAGAAAGTAAATACGATAAATAAATAATTCAACTTTTTTCACCTGAGTTTTTACCAGCGAGAACAGCAAACCATCCAGTCTTATTTTTGGAACTGTCATATTCAGGTGCTGTAGTTTTATCAGCTGTAAATATACTTGCTTGAACTCTCTCCCACATGTAAGTAGTATCTTGCGTATTTGTCCAACCACACATACTTTCAGAAAAGTCACATTCTCCTGTTCAACATTTGAAAATTAAATATTTATAAAAATTCTGTAATAAATTAGAAATATTTAAACAAATTAAAATTAAGTACTATTTAGATTTACTAGATTATAACTTCTTTTCATTCGTATTATTGGAGTTTATTTCTGACAAATATAGAAATAAGAAAGAATATTTCAAACTGTTCCTTTGATTCATTCATTTCTACATTTTATCAAATTGTTGTATAGATATCATAATTTTCTTGTAATTTATGACTTAAAATAATCATATATGTGCTTTTTATATTTCTGTATAGATTAATTCTTTTTTTTTAACATAATTTGTTTTCAGACTTAAAAAATTTGCTTAAAAACCTAATTCTAAATAAAATTTGTAATTCAAATTAATATTGCACAGCAATAAATGAATAATTGTAGTTTTGAAAAAATAAATAAAGAAATTATTTTATATTCATATATAAAAGAGGAAAGCATTCCTCTTAAATCCTTTTACACCTTAAGATGGCCCATTAACCAACTTTTCCAACTGCTATGACTATTAAAAGTGTGTCATTTACTTTACTGTTCCTATAATAAATTTCTAATATAAAATTTAACATTATATATGCATAAAAATTTGCAAAAACTTTATATATATATATATACATAAAATTACAAATAAGAATTTAAAATTAAATACAAACCACAGTCTGATTCATCTGACCCATCTGTACATTGCTTTTCAAAATCACATATCTGATAATTTTCAACACACTGATCATTGGACTTGCACATAGTTTCTCTTTCAGTACATATGACAACTTCTGGAGTAGTAGATGCTGGTGGTGGACTAGTTAGTAAAGGACCTTTAAAATACAAATGTAATTCTTTAAATCATCAATGCTTATTTTTGACTTCTATGGAATTTATATTATAAAACTTTATATTAAATTACTTTATATGTAATAGAGAAATTATAATACTATAATATTTAAATAAAATGTAATTTTTAATAATAATAAAAAAAAATGATAAGAGATGTTAGTGTATAGAAAAATTAATACAGGCGACCCCCTATAGCACTGTTGATTATTCCATTTTATATGAATTCCATGTTGTACGAGTCACTTAGATTTTACAAATACATGAGCCGTTCACAGCCTGTCACACGTATTTATAAAATCTAAATGACTCGTACAACATGGAATTCATATAAAACGGAATAATCAACAGTGTTATGGGGGGGTCGACTGTATTCAATCTGGGCTTTATTTTATGCATAGATGCAAAAGCATCAGCCTGGGACTTTGCAGATATAGGGTCCCAATAAAGTTAATTCTGAAAAAAAATAAAAAGAATACGAATTTTACTATGTAAAAATAACAATGATAAATAAATATTGGGAGCATAGAAGGTTATTTGGGCTCTCATGCAAGAAGAAACTTGGGCTCAGTTACTCTATCAGACAAGTTAGGAATTTAAATATTTAAATTCCTAATTTTCTTAAAACTGTTTTAATTTATATTCCATATTGGTTATTACTTAGACCTGACAATGATCTATAATTAGATCAAAAGTACTGGTCAAGTAAAATACTTTTTGCTGTTTTATAAAGTTGCTGCTTTCATTTAAATAGTGAATAAACAAAAAAAATAACTTAATTTTATATTGATAAAATAAATTTACATCATTTTTATGTGAATAACGATATATGAAGAAATTACATTAATGATTTTATATGAATATAATAATGAAGTACAGTAGACTCCTGTACAACATGGAAGATACGTTCCGTGCTGTAGGAAATTGCATTATAGGAGAAATACATTATCGGACCATTTTATGCAAGTTCAAACATGTCTCTAAATTTTAACTGTTATCGCAAGGGAGAAAGATTTCTTGAACATTTTTCCAAAATTATAGAGGAATGCAATTATATAGCAGAACAAGTCTATAACGTTGACGAATTTGCTTTGTATTGGAAAAAAATGCCTGACATAACATATATTGAGAAAAATAAGAATTCCACTTCTGGTTTCAAGGTATCAAATGACAGGATAACTTTACTTTTGTGTTCTAATGCAGTCAGAGAATATATAACTAAGCCAATGTTAATTAATTGTACATTAAATCCACGTGTAATGAAAAACCTAGAATCAACATTTCCTGTTCATTGGAGAGCTAATAAAAAAGCATGGATTACATGCAAAATGTTTAAAAATTAGTTTTATAACTGTTTTGTACCAAAGGTCGAAAATTATTTACAATAAAAAAATCTGTTTTTAAACTGTTGGCTTCACTGTTCATATATAAACAACTGGTAAGTATATATTTTCGTTTTTCTAAACAAGAAATCTGAAACTATGTAAAACATTAAATTTATTTTATGCGTTATACGGGACTGTTTATCTATCGTGCTGTATGAGTTCTAGTCGCAAAATTTTCATTGCATTATATGAATTCATGTTATAAGGGAGCGCATTGTATGGGAGTTCACTGTAATGAAAACAAAAATATAAATAAAAATATAAAATAAAACACTATAAAAAGCTGTTTTATACCTAAAGAAAACCATAACAATTTTTCTAAACATTCAAAATCAAACAAATTAGTAAGGATTTGTTAAAAAGTAAAATAATAACAAAGTAATATGGATTATATAAAACTGTTAATTACGAGAAAATTAAAAAACTGAATATATAATTTAAAAATTCTCCTTGGCTAGTTTCATAAATAAAATTTACAGAAAAACTTTCTATTATAAACACATATTTAAGCTTTCAGGAATCTAAACAATTCTCATTATTGTAACATTCTAGCTCTTAATGGTAAATCATATCTCCCATAAATTTAACTTTTTATTTAATTCATAAAATTTATATAAGAAGTCAAGTTTAATCACTCTTATTCATTTAAAATGTTTATAAATAGAATTTAACTATTACATTAAACTACATATTACTACATTGTTAAGCGTTATTACACTTAAATTAATTTAAATAAAATTTTATCAAGAGTGGACAAATATGATCTAGTAGCAAGATGCTTAGCAATAAGAATGATTTTCATCTATGCATATACAGCATCTAATTTTTTTTAACCCAAGTTCTTGTATTCAATACTATAAAGAAGTGTTTTTTAGAAGTTCCCATAATAAAATGAATTACACTTCATGCTTACATTTAACTACGTAAAATAAATTATCATGAAAACTACTAAAAACACTTCTTTGTATAACTGATCTTAATTACTCAAATTCAGAGTTTTTATTTTTTATTTAATTTTAAAATTATAATGAAAAAGTGATACTGCACTGGATCAATTCTCCATATTCCAGAAATCCAGAATTAAAAGTAAACTAGCTACAGTATTTTTGAATTTGGTGGGCTATAACACAGCTGTAGTCACAGCACAGTGGCTTTGTTTTGATTTCTATGGAATACGTGTTGCATGATGCCAATTCAATTATATTCTTTACCTTTTTTTGCTTAATTTTCATCCTAAATATCACATTATACATGGTATTCTATATTTTAAAAAGATTAATAATAATCAAACAAACCTTGCTTTAGAAGTGTGTTAATTTATACAGTTTCGTTCTTTACTTTCAATTGTTTATTTTATATTTTAAATATAAATATTTAGCCTGTGTCCAGAAAACTGGAAAATCCAGAAATCAAGACCAGTTTCAGTCCCAAGCTTGCCAAATAATTGGAATAGTACAGAATTTCGAATATAAGTTATGAAAAGACATTGAAAAAGTTTACTGAATAATTTTCTTTTTACTTAAATACACTAAAAATATGAAAGCTTTTTTTTAATGAATCAAGATAATGTAAACTCTACTACAACTTTTTATTAATTGGAAAAATAAAATTGAGTACCTGTACCTCATAAGAGATACAGATAAATGAATAAACATATCATGAGAATAAATCTTAATGTGCTAGATCAATATACTAAATAAAGTATGATAAAAGTTAATACTTTATTTTTCTGTAACTATATTGGAAATAACTAATTCACAAGCTTAAATTTAGCTCAAGCTAAAAATGCTTACCTATTTCTAATAAACAGTCTGGAGTGAATGATATATCATCTAATGCTAAATATATTGTTTGATCTTTTGTAAAGAATATTTGACCTTCAATAACAACCTATTAATGAATATACATGTAATATAAGTAAAATTTAATATAAAAGTTATATACAAATAGTTTAAATGATAAGCTTTAATTTACCTGAAAAGTTGAAGTTTCATTAAATGTTATTGAATGGGGAGTAAAATAATAACCTTCTGTTTCTGTTTTCCTATTCCAAATAGTCTTTAAGTCACCACCGTCATATATTTTTGTTGAAATTCTTAAAGACATGATATCATCTCTACTTGCATAGCCATAAACATCATAATGAAATCTCATCTAAAAGAGATTTATTCTATTAAGTAATTTAATTAGAATATATCCCAATAAGCATTTAACAAAATATTTTTTTCAATAATATATTAAATCAAATACAATCTAACAAGTCTTTAAATCAGATTGTTTTTATTACTATTAGTTTCAGTATTATGTAATCAATAATATAAAAGAAATAATGTCTTCAGATAGAAATTATCAAATAAACATATAAAGTATGAAATAATAAATATTTTGTGTACTATATATAAACATAAATAAATGTATAGATAATAAAATTAAAAATAGTTATAATAATGAGACTTAATACAAAATATATATTTACCTGGCAAGTGCTAGATTTTTGGAATGTAGGTCCTAGTAACCTCGCAGTTTTATCCTTATTCTGTTCTCCAAAAAAATAAAGAAATTTTCCTGAAATAGAATAATTGTGATTTACTCAAATTTTCAATAAATATTGAATTTAAATCAAACAGTTTAAGATAAAGTCAAACATGTCTTGTTTTATTAAGATGTATAATTTGCTTTTATTTAATAAATGATTTAAATCAAAAATAATATGTTTCTTATATCATTATTTCAGGTCATATTATTATTTTATTATTTAGCAAAAATAGTTCATTTATTTTTTAGTAGTATATATTTTTCAACTTCTATTTATGTGATCTCGTCTCATTAAGTTTTTTGTTTTAGATTGTTAATCATTAAATACTTTAATCAGAAAAATATTACTTTTACAACTAATATTAAACAATTTGAAAATAAACGTAAAGGAACCTTAAGTTAAAAAATATTATTATTCATGGATAATGCTAATATGAAAAGAAAAACAAGGAAATGTTTCTCCATCTTTCATAGAGAATAGCTTCTTAATTTGTTTATCATAATGAAAATTTTCAAAAATACATCAAATCATACTTTATTATTTTTATTATAATAAAAGCTTTATTTTTCAATAGATATAATAAATTGAAGTGTAACAGATCTTAAAATTTTTTCTTATTTATTTTGGAATCATAAAAATTTATAATTATATAATACAATATAACTACATTTTATTAATTATAAATTTACATTTAATATAACTTAAAAATGGTGTTGCACATCCCATACAACCTCAGTCAATTTTCCCTCAATTTTTTTTTTTCTATCTCCACGATGTCCAAGTGTCCCCTGATGTAACTATTTTAACCTTATCTTTTCCTGTGACACCACTCATCCATCTCAGTATACACATTTCTGCAACCTGCATTCTCTGTACCTGTACTTTCTTTACAATCTAGCACTCTGAACCATATAGCACTCTAAACTTCTTTACAATCTAGCACTTGCAAGCCTATTTTATAAAATTTCCCTTTTAATCTAGGAGGCATTCTTCTGTAACAAAATATTCCACTAGCTCTCTCCATTTAGTCCAACCAGCTATGACTCCGTTTGTTATATCTTCATCACTCTCTCCATCTTGTTGGAGTATTAACCCAAATATCTGTATTTTTCATTCTCACGCCTTCAATTTTCACATCGACTTCATTTTCAGAAGCATCTTCCTCAAAAGCACATTTCATATACTCCATTGTCTTTCTACTAATCTTTGAGAATAAATATTTAAAAATGTTAAACAAAACTTTGAATTTCTAACTAACTTTATTCTTCTTCTGTATATATTACAATGTTCTTTATTAAATTTCCTTGATTATCTATTTCAATGCAACAATTAAAATTGTTTATAAGTGTAATTTTTTTGTATTTGCATTTTGTATTTATTATATGATGATATCATTATACTTAAATTATATAATAAAATATTAATGGCATTAACATTTATTACTTAAAGAATTATTAGCTACAGTAATCTCTGTCTTTTTACTTTCCTTTTTGGTGTTGACTTTTTATAGATTGTAATATTATTCTTTGTAATATTAGAATTTAATTCCCTCTATTTTCATAATTATTAAATTATATTGTATTTTATTAATTTCATTTAAGAAATAATCTTAAAATAAAATTTCAATTGTTTTATTATTAATTAATTAGTTACTAAATTTACATACCATGCTTTGTATTAGTTGTATGATCTCTTGTAGGTCCTTTACTTAACTGAGAAAAACCATTTTGAAGAGTCCATTTACCATTTGTATTGTCATCAACAGACCAATCACAGAATGACGTATCAAAATTGCAACGAGATACATACATTTCTAAAAAATAAACAAACACCAATTAAGTATTACTTGAAAAAAATCTTAATTAATATTTTTATCATTAAAAATATTGTTAAATTTAATAAAATATAAATTAAATAGTACAATGTAGTGCTTATTTTTAAAAGGAAAAAATATTAATTCATTTAAAAATACATGCACAAACAAAAACATGTTGATTACTTTTATCTTTTAACATTTTAAATAAACTACAACAATAAACAAATGATACAGCTGGATATTTTTCCAGGATACTGAAATTAATTTATTTATTTGTAATTATTAACTTTAATACAAAACAAAGGCTTAACTTTAGAGTAAATTACATAATATCTTTATAATTAATTAACCATATTATAGCCTGATTATAATTTGGCAATATCATTTTTTTTAATCTTATTACTATATGTCATGCTTGGTTTCTATGTAAATAAACTATATTTTTCTCTAATCTCTAATGAAAGCAATAAATATAAAAAAAACCTTAATTAAATCTGTTTTGTCTTTATTTTTTAATATAATTATAATTTTAAATTAACTTTCAATAATACAATAACATGTTTATTAATAAGAAAATAAATGAATTAAATTTAAAAAATTTATTTTTAAAAGCTTCAAAAGTGTAAAATTTTAAAAACAGTAAAAGAAATTTAAAATATTTTTACCATAAAATATTAAATTTATAGACCTAAAAGTATGTACGTAAATTTTATTTTTACATATTTAATAAATTTTATAATTTTATTTATAGGGCAATAATTGGCATCATTCTTCTCTATCAATGTACTGTATTTATTCACATATAAGACAAGGTTTTTATTCATTTTTCACTGCTTCGAAATCCTAGGTCGTCCTGTATGTGTAAGCGGAGGATTCTTTGCATATTTAGAGTAATTTTTGTGAACCGTGTATTTGCATATTTTGCCAGATACTCACCCTCTGGCGTTTGAAAACAAAAGTATTTTATCTGAATCATTTTTAATCGTTCTTGTGAATCGCCAAAAGTAAAGATGAATAGCAACAGGAAAAGCAAAGCTTTTGAATTGAATTCCAAATTGAAATTCCAAAATCACACGGTAGCCCGATATAAGTTTTAACCCGTTCCCACGTGAAAACAGATGATTATTTGGAAATCAGAATTTGAAGAAACTTGTAAGTGTAATTGACGAAGAGTGGATTTGGCTGTTAAGAATTGGCAAAAAAGGTTCCCAATTGTCCAGCTTTACATGCACAGATTATGTTGTCGATTTTACAAGATTTTTCCTTAAAGTGTAAAATGTCAGTAATTTTTGCGGGACAATGTGTGCATTTACATGCATTTAATATTTTATTTGTGATTAAACATAATAAAATTNATAATGAAAAATAAAATTTCAATTGTTTTATTATTAATTAATTAGTTACTAAATTTACATACCATGCTTTGTATTAGTTGTATGATCTCTTGTAGGTCCTTTACTTAACTGAGAAAAACCATTTTGAAGAGTCCATTTACCATTTGTATTGTCATCAACAGACCAATCACAGAATGACGTATCAAAATTGCAACGAGATACATACATTTCTAAAAAATAAACAAACACCAATTAAGTATTACTTGAAAAAAATCTTAATTAATATTTTTATCATTAAAAATATTGTTAAATTTAATAAAATATAAATTAAATAGTACAATGTAGTGCTTATTTTTAAAAGGAAAAAATATTAATTCATTTAAAAATACATGCACAAACAAAAACATGTTGATTACTTTTATCTTTTAACATTTTAAATAAACTACAACAATAAACAAATGATACAGCTGGATATTTTTCCAGGATACTGAAATTAATTTATTTATTTGTAATTATTAACTTTAATACAAAACAAAGGCTTAACTTTAGAGTAAATTACATAATATCTTTATAATTAATTAACCATATTATAGCCTGATTATAATTTGGCAATATCATTTTTTTTAATCTTATTACTATATGTCATGCTTGGTTTCTATGTAAATAAACTATATTTTTCTCTAATCTCTAATGAAAGCAATAAATATAAAAAAAACCTTAATTAAATCTGTTTTGTCTTTATTTTTTAATATAATTATAATTTTAAATTAACTTTCAATAATACAATAACATGTTTATTAATAAGAAAATAAATGAATTAAATTTAAAAAATTTATTTTTAAAAGCTTCAAAAGTGTAAAATTTTAAAAACAGTAAAAGAAATTTAAAATATTTTTACCATAAAATATTAAATTTATAGACCTAAAAGTATGTACGTAAATTTTATTTTTACATATTTAATAAATTTTATAATTTTATTTATAGGGCAATAATTGGCATCATTCTTCTCTATCAATGTACTGTATTTATTCACATATAAGACAAGGTTTTTATTCATTTTTCACTGCTTCGAAATCCTAGGTCGTCCTGTATGTGTAAGCGGAGGATTCTTTGCATATTTAGAGTAATTTTTGTGAACCGTGTATTTGCATATTTTGCCAGATACTCACCCTCTGGCGTTTGAAAACAAAAGTATTTTATCTGAATCATTTTTAATCGTTCTTGTGAATCGCCAAAAGTAAAGATGAATAGCAACAGGAAAAGCAAAGCTTTTGAATTGAATTCCAAATTGAAATTCCAAAATCACACGGTAGCCCGATATAAGTTTTAACCCGTTCCCACGTGAAAACAGATGATTATTTGGAAATCAGAATTTGAAGAAACTTGTAAGTGTAATTGACGAAGAGTGGATTTGGCTGTTAAGAATTGGCAAAAAAGGTTCCCAATTGTCCAGCTTTACATGCACAGATTATGTTGTCGATTTTACAAGATTTTTCCTTAAAGTGTAAAATGTCAGTAATTTTTGCGGGACAATGTGTGCATTTACATGCATTTAATATTTTATTTGTGATTAAACATAATAAAATTAGAACTGTATTAATAAATCTAATTTTCTTTATTTTTATCTTAAAAGTCACACCTCATCCTATATGCAAGATCGTCTTATATGTGAGTAAGTACGGTATATAACTTAATAATCTGATTTTGGGCTGCCAGTAAAAAAAATTAAATTAAATATACTTCTTACCACATTTATTTTCATCGCTATTATCACCACAGTTATCTGTATAATCACACACATTTTCTTTACTTATGCAGACTTTATTATCACAAAGAAAAAAGTTATTTTGTTCACAATATCTTGAAGGTGCTGTAAAGAAAACACACACAAATTTTTAAAAATTAAATTTCAAAAATTAACATAATTAATTAATTAATTAATTAAAAAAATACCAGGTTGTTCACAGTTAGTAAATGAGATATCATCAACTGCAGCATATTCTTTAGAATCATCACTTCTTCTAGCCACAAAACTGAGCTATAATGAATATAAGAATCATAAATGTATATTCTAAATTTCCTATTATAAAATAGTATATGTTATTTTATATAGCATCATATTGAAAAAATATAAGTTATTAGTAATAGAGTTAAATCTGTTGCTTAAATCTTTCAAAATAATTTATAATCAATTTTCTATAATTNGGAGTAATGATGAATAGCAACAGGAAAAGCAAAGCTTTTGAATTGAATTCCAAATTGAAATTCCAAAATCACACGGTAGCCCGATATAAGTTTTAACCCGTTCCCACGTGAAAACAGATGATTATTTGGAAATCAGAATTTGAAGAAACTTGTAAGTGTAATTGACGAAGAGTGGATTTGGCTGTTAAGAATTGGCAAAAAAGGTTCCCAATTGTCCAGCTTTACATGCACAGATTATGTTGTCGATTTTACAAGATTTTTCCTTAAAGTGTAAAATGTCAGTAATTTTTGCGGGACAATGTGTGCATTTACATGCATTTAATATTTTATTTGTGATTAAACATAATAAAATTAGAACTGTATTAATAAATCTAATTTTCTTTATTTTTATCTTAAAAGTCACACCTCATCCTATATGCAAGATCGTCTTATATGTGAGTAAGTACGGTATATAACTTAATAATCTGATTTTGGGCTGCCAGTAAAAAAAATTAAATTAAATATACTTCTTACCACATTTATTTTCATCGCTATTATCACCACAGTTATCTGTATAATCACACACATTTTCTTTACTTATGCAGACTTTATTATCACAAAGAAAAAAGTTATTTTGTTCACAATATCTTGAAGGTGCTGTAAAGAAAACACACACAAATTTTTAAAAATTAAATTTCAAAAATTAACATAATTAATTAATTAATTAATTAAAAAAATACCAGGTTGTTCACAGTTAGTAAATGAGATATCATCAACTGCAGCATATTCTTTAGAATCATCACTTCTTCTAGCCACAAAACTGAGCTATAATGAATATAAGAATCATAAATGTATATTCTAAATTTCCTATTATAAAATAGTATATGTTATTTTATATAGCATCATATTGAAAAAATATAAGTTATTAGTAATAGAGTTAAATCTGTTGCTTAAATCTTTCAAAATAATTTATAATCAATTTTCTATAATTCTTAATCCTATCATCAATAACTTGATAAATTTGACAATGAATTTGAGACTTTTTTAAATAAAAAATATCATAATATTATAATATCTTGAATAAATAATCCTGAAAAATTAATAAAATTCTAATATAATAATATCTAATATCATATTTGTTAGGATCAAATTCAATGTTCAAGTTCCTTTAAGTTTAAATAGTAGACTGTATAGTACATTCTATTTGTGATGTTCTGTTTGAGATCACCTGATGATGGGCGTTGATTGAAAATGTCTGAAGACATTGGTATATATATATATATATTCACACCTTAATTTTCCATAAAATCTTTTAATAACATATACCAATGTCTTTAGACATTTTCAATCAATGCCCATCATCAGGTGATTATATATACCATGCTGGGGTAAAATAATAGCTGGTTAAATGCCATAATAGGTGATAATATAGGCTATGGGCATAGGAGTCATTCCCAGTCAGTGACATGAGTAACTGTGAGTGATTATATTGATAACTAAATATGTCTGGAAGAAAGAATTTCTTGGGTCCACTGGCAACGCAACACATCCACATAGTAAGCGAGAACTGCAGGTTCAAGTCCTGCTCTGGATTAATTCTTATCTTCCAGAATATTCTTAATTAATTAGTGAATATCATAATTCATTAAAACAAGAAATAACTACTGGCTACTGCATTAAACAGTTTAACACTGATAGACAGTAGTTATTTCTTGTTTTAACGGATAATATTTTGGCATGGTGATCTAATCATTTTTATATGTCATGGAAATTGCAAAAAAGTATTTTTTCAAAAATCATAATTATTAAATTTAATAAGCGATGGTACTGTACCTAAATCCAAATTACTTAATAGTTAATCATTAATAATAGCACTTAATTAGTCCAATTAGTTAGAAAACAAATGACGGACAATCTATTAAGTTTAACATATTTAGATTTCTACAGCTATGGTGAGAAACCTTTTAAAATCTACAACAACCCTGTCGCCTCCTTTGAGATATACTAGTGATGCGACAAAAGAGGTATTTGACATTGACTGGTATTGGCACCATGGGGATTTGACAGTCCGCATGTATGCACGCTCTGCAACTGTCTTCGATTCCATCCATTAGCCACATGTAGGGAGCTATTTGACTAATGCATTGTTTTAAGATTTAAAAAGTAAAGAATATTTTATGTTATTTTTATGTACGTTTCTTTAAAAAGCTATATTTAATTATAATTTTCTTTAAAAGTATATTCATACAATTGAAGAATATTTTGTATCAGGTATGAACCGGTACATCCACCACACATTTTAGTTCACTAAGTAAGTTTTTATTATTTTATTTTTAATTGTAGACCTTATATCATGGCTAGCGATTCGGAATGTAATTGTGATATTAAAAATGCAATTAGAGAAGTCTACGGTTTTTACTGGCTTATTGAATAAACGATACGAATGGACCCTAGACCATCACTGATGCGCAATTGACTGATTGCCCCTGGATGTCGGCTTCTTTGAGAAACAGCTTCCCTATCATCAAATGTCATGGCATGCCACTGATATCAATAACATATCAATATACGTTATTTATTAACATTCAGAAGAATAGTTACTGATAATATATTAGTAATTATTCTTCTGTATTTTTTATTTAATAACTAGCTTACCCATCGTGCATTGCTGCGATCTCAGAAGAAACGAAATTCAAGTAAACTCGTTATGATAAAATTTAATTTACATTTTATCATTTTTATTAAAACTTATTATTATTATTCATTTTCATTCGGAAAACATTTCAAAGGGTCGTTTCAATTCTATTTATTTATTGGAGTGTTTGTGGAAACATGATATTTTTTGTTTTTCCGTCTGGTGCGTACACGAATAAATCGGAAGGTTTTTCGACGCGTGAGCCGGCCACATACAGTTGTCCATGCGAGAAGCACGGATTCTCCAAATTTAGCCCACATACTCGCTGCGATTGTCAGAAGTGCGATATTCCCCATTTTTATATATATTTTTAAATCCTTTATAATTTTAATTATTTAATTGCTCCTTCCTCTCTTCCTTGGCATGTTGTGAAATTTCTGATAGTTGGATAATAAACCGTTTTATTGTAATTTGTCTTTTTAAATTATTTTGAGTCGATATTAAAATTTGGAAAAGGGGGGATACCTAGATCGGTAAAATACGCGAATTTCTTCCTACAACTTCGGTTGTTGTTCGGGGTACAGTTAAGGTTTTAACGAAGTTCGAGCGAATACATAATTAGCAAAAAAAAGTTGAAATAAAGTGATTAAACAAAAATTATTACAAATATCATAAATAACAGTTCACAAATGCATATATAGAGATATTTTTTGAAGGGGGAAATGGTCTTCACAATTTGAAATCGATCGAACACACAGTATAAACGCACGCCATCTATCGCAGGATAAATGTACTATGCCAGAAACCTTCGCGGGAGTGTATTAAAAAACTTCCCAAAGCTTCATGGCAATCGGATAAACGGTGTGGTAATGCATGAAGGACAGACAGACAGACATACATTCATTTTTATATATATAGATTAGAAATTTTAATATTAAAAATTAACAAGTTAGTTCATTTCTTTTCTTTGTTGTAATTCAAAAATATATATATTTATTTAGATCATCTACTGTTTAATTGTTTTGATATACAAATACTATTTTATGATGAACTTTTACGGAGTGCTATGAGACAATTATTAAGTATTATCTAGCATGCATTTAGAGAAGTCTACGGTTTTCACTGGCTTATTGAATAAACGATAAGAATGGACCCTAGACCATCACTGACACGCAATTGACTGATTGCCCCTGGATGTTAGCTTCTTACAGAAACACAGCTTCCCTATCATTAAATGTCACGGCATGCCACTGATATCAATAACATATATCCCTACTTAGGAGTTTTTATAACCTATAATGGTTAATAAACTAAATTATTTCACTTTGCACACCTTAATTCTAAGAATTTTGATCCTTGATTTATTATCAACAATTTGTTAATAGGATTAATAACTAAATGAAAAATAAAAAAATTACCGTAAATGGACGATACACTCGTCCAATAAAAGCAATTCCTTTATACCAGGTCAATCTTTTTGTTCTGGAATTTACCCACATTTTCATTTTTGTTCTATTGTTTAAGTTTAAATATACATCCATCTTTTCTATAATAAAAAAAATTTTAACACATTAAGTAATAAGTAATAAAAATGATTAAAATATAACCATACAATCACAAAAAAAGAGACAATACAGAAAATAATTAATCTGATGAATTATTATATTTAAAATAATACATATCTTATTTAAATTATATTTGAGTTTTTAAATTTTCAGATTCTGAGACATTAATATGTCTAGTTACCAGGTATTATTTTTCTAAAAATTTATATTAAATATTTAAAGATTTTCTCTTTGTATAGATCAGTGTTTCTCAATGGGGCAATGTGGGTGGTTTTCCATATTGGGGTGGAATTAGTAACAATTTATATTTTGCGGGCAAAAAACAATTTTATGGGTGATGTAGAAAACATTATATTAAGAATAATAATTAGATATTTTATTCATTATATCGTACAATAATTAAACAAATAACATTATACTAGTGGCTAGTCTGTTCAATGCAATACAAACTTGGCTCTCGGCATCGGAATTTTGAAGCTTGCAGCGGGGATTCACAGCAAATAATGCTTAATTTTAATTTTGTTAATTATATCAAAATCTAATACGTATTCTGAGTAAATAAATGTTTATTTGATAATTATATACTTTGTAAAAAAAACTAATAAACCCAACAAAGTTGTTTTTGAAGTGAAGGGGGCGACGATTCATTAGTAGTTGAGAAACACTGGCATAGATGCTAATTGCTCTAATATATAAAACTCAAAAATTTAACATAAAATTTGGCATGCATTTTTTCTCTTGAAATATACACGTTCAAATTACTTTTGTTTTGAATATGTATTTATTATATACCATTTCTTTTGTTTATTTTAAATTTATTTTGACATTTCAGATTACTATGTTCATTAGCAAATAAATTTTACAATACAGTAGAGTCTCAAAAACTCGGCACTCGATAACCCGGCAGTCCGGATAACTCAGCCACATCCTGGCAGGGCAAAAAATTCCTTAGTTAATTAATTTTCATTATAGACAGCTTTATGCCTCATAAAGTATTTTTCTGAGGTCTGTCTTATCAGGTAAATTATTGTACACAGTGTATTCATTAATATTCATTTTCATGTAGTAAAGGCTGTATGCCTTCATAAAAGATGTACTTTTCCTTTGTTTAAGGGTATTTGGGCAGTTTATTCTCTGTTGTATTCTCAAGTAAACAATACATACAAGTACAGTACAGTATTTTCTGAGGAAACACTCATACTTATTTTTTTTAACCCCATTCCCGATAACCCGGCATTTTCACAAACTCGGCCACCCTTCGGTCCACATTAGGCCGAGCTTTCGAGACTCTACTGTATAAACAAAACTCATAAATAATTTGAAATTCTTCAAATATAAAAGCAAATTTCTTAAGGAATTTTGCTAACTATAATGTATGTAAATTTAACAATTATTAATAAATTAATTGATCATTCATTATTTACTTTTTCCATAAAAGTTGTACCAAAATTCTAGTGAACAATAGGATGATGACTGTTGTATTTTAGGACCAAATAATTCTGTTTTTATATTATCACTTTGAATACTCTGATTGTAACGAGCCAACATATAATATCCTAAAAAAGAAACGAATAAAATATTAAATCATAGAATTAAATAAAAAGTGAAATTAATTCAGTAAAAAAATTTAATTTTAATATAATAATATGTCAATGTAATAATTAAATTATTAGTGATAAAACTAGAATAATCTGGTTTGAATTATCATTTCATATTACTTAAAAATTCAATAATTATTAGTACAGATTAAAAATACAGAATTTGAAATATTCATAATCATAAATTAAAATCCAGCAATGAGTTAGTTGCTTAACTTTCATGGCAATATTTAATGCCACTATCTGTTATGATATTTTATTTTAAAAAACTTTATATAAAGTCAAACATTATTTTCATACAGATGACGTATCCCAAGGATTATCTTGATTCGAAGCTATAGAGACTTACATAAAAGGTCGGCGTTCTGATCATTTTTTTAACTTTGTGGTAAATTTTCTAATAATCTATTTATGATGTCTTAAGAAGATTTTTTTATTTCTTCAAACTAATTGATTGTTACTTCTGAATTGGTCTGTGAAATAGGAAAAAAAACGACTAGAAAAATTATATATTTTTATNTTGGAAAAGGGGTAGGCATTACATGCCATTTCTTGATAAATTTAATAATTATGATTACATTAATACTTAATAATTAATTTAGAAGATTCTGGAAAAAAGAATCAGCCCAGAACAGAACTCAAACCTGCAACTCTCGCATGCCATGTAGATGCAGTTGCCAATTACATTGCCCAGACTTCCGTCTGATCTTCACTTCCACAACTGTTAATTTAGATACAACCATTCTGATTACTCATGGCAACTGACTGGGGACAACCAAGTTCCATGGAAAGAGTTATAGGCCAGGGATGCTGATGTATTCTCCAGTCAGTGTTATGAATAACCAGTGTGGTTGTATCCAAATTAACAGTTCTGGAAGTGAAGATTAGACAAAAGTCTGAATATCATAATTAGAAAAGTATCACATGGCATGCAGAGCTACAGATTCAAGTCCTGCTATGGGCTAATTCTTTTCTTCCAGAACAACCATTCAATATTAGTTATACTTAATTCACTAACACCTTATTTGCCAAGAAAAACATATTTATGTTAAGTAAAGACAGCTGTTAAAGCTGTGTTAATTAAAACTTTTGCTGTATATTAAAAGAGACTGCCGCAATTAATTTCGCACGTTAATCGAATCCTGCATTAAGCAAAACAACATTAAGCAAGGGATACCTGTGGTAGTATTATTATGTCCCAATGTAATTCTGCAATCATTGGCATTAATCTAAAATTGTGTTAATAGATATTTATATTTGTAAAAATAATCACAGCAATTGCATAAGTCAGTATTTTGGTTAAATAACTGAATTAATGAATAAATAATATAAATATGTCCTATGTCCACCAAAGTAGACATTTCAAATCTTTTTTCTACTTTTTTCACTGCAAAACTTTTTATCATCTCTGTTGTGTCTAATTTTGCAACTCTTGCGCTTCAATTGAAATTTAACATAGATAATTTAAACATAAAATTAACTGGCACATTAAATTTCATAAATAATTTTTAATTTACTAAAAAAATCTATCTGTTGTTGCCAGTGTCACTAGCCTAGGGCCTGATCTGAACCTTCTTACATCATGGTCCCTTAAGCATTACTTAACCAAACTTCACAGTTATGCCTTGATGATCATACAAATTTTGATTCTTCTAATCATATACAGTAGAGTCCCGTACAATGCACAAATAAAGCAAGCAACACCAGTGGAGTACCGTGGATGTCAGCCGCCCGGGGCGGAGGAAAATTTCGGTCCCCTTTATTTAGGTATTTCAATTTAAAAGACCAAAATTCAGTTTTGTCACAGAACAAGCAATGAAAAATTCGGTGGTAGTGCAGCAATTTGTTTAAAATAGTTCTATTGGATATTAGTGGTGCATATGAATGCGAATGAATTGTACAAGCAAAAAAAAGAAAAAAGAGAAATGAAAAGAAAAAAAAGGTCAACAGGTTTCGCAGGAACTCCTCAGATGAAAAAGTTACTATCTCACCTGGCGAGCCGATTCCTGGACTGTCCGGTCGATAGCACTATTGTAGGCGTGATGCAAGTATAGATTAGGATGTTTCAAAATTTTATAAGGTGATATTATTTATTGTGAAATTTTGCCGTCCCCTAAAAAGTGCCGCCCAAGGCGGACCGCCCCTGCCGCCCCCCCTACGGTACGCCACTGAGCAACACCCTCAAATTTTGTCGATCAGAGGTATACATTTTTTTCAACTTATAGGCCAAGGTTTAAACTTTCATAAATCATGTGATAATGCAGGTTTCAATAACGCAATTTCCTATAATAAGTAACAAATCCCTTGTGTTGTACGGGACTCTACTGTAATCTTTTCTTAAATTTATTCATATCTCCTGCATACAATATTAATTCTTTAAATAGAAATAGCAAGATATTTTAGAAGATTGCTATTTAAATATTTAAATTAAAAGGATAAAGAGAAATTTTTCTGAGGTTTGCTACAGAAAAATGTTTTAGGTAATAAAGATGGAGTCTAACCTAAAAGTATAAATGATGATTGAAGATAAAGATATAGATTCCCTAAAAATGCTCCAATTATTCTTTAATACAATTAAAAAATAACTTTTTATTAGCATCAAATTATTAACATAATAATTTTCTGAATTAATTAATTAATAATGACACAATATATTATACATACCGCTTCCGTCACTGTTTGTATGATCATGAACTGCACCAGAGTCACCTTCATTTTTTCGTCTTTTCCAACAGTATCCGGAGTTGGGGCATTGTGTATACCAACCACATTGTCCATTTTCAAAATCACATGCTCCACAGTCTTCTTCATCTTTACCAGTTGTACAATCTTTAATAAAATTGCAGACTTTTTCCATTAAAACTGTTTCTTTGTTACCGCAATCGAATAATTTTGGCCCGTCATCTAAATGAAATAACAAATAAAATAACATAAATACTTGATTCATCTATAAATGTTCAACATAAATGTATTAATTATGTAAATTACCTGAACAAGTGCCATCAGTGACTTCAAAATCATCAATAGCAGCAAATGAATATTGGTCTTGTCCAACAACTCCAACAACATAAATCTATTAAAATAAAATAAAATTATATATTTTTATTGAAATTATATTTTACATAGTATAAAAAGCTTTTATTGCTAAATATCGTTTTGTAAATAAAATTCATTTAAGAAAATTATTCAATTTTTAAATCTATTTTAAAAATTAGTACATTATAATTTAATTAATATGCCCTGCATGTTATAAATGTTTAAATGATTTTCTGTATAATTTGTTCTTTTTATAGGCCTTCCTATTAGATAAGAATTTCAATATAAAACGCTCCAATATTTTTTTTATGATTTGAAAGAAAAAGATCTGGAAAAAAAACATTCAATTTATGTTCTTTTTCTACACTTTTCCCCCTTAAAACACATGTTAATGAATAAACAATAGGCTTTCCAATTAGCGCAGACTGATCAACATATATTGATCTTTTTTTTTACTTATAGTATTAATCAATGTTTCATGCTCCAATATTTATGAAGACTTGATTGTGCTTTCAAATAAAGGACATAAGCAAAAACATTACACCAAGCTATATCTTGCTTTGTTATGTATCAATTAAACACAAATGCACGAGAGTACTGGCAATTGGAAGTGAGTTATTCAATGGTAAAGTTACCATGTATCCCCAACCCCTGTTCTCATGGGCCAAATCCTACCTTGGTTCCTATAAAAGATAGCAGCATAGTTTATTACAAAGTTGTAGAGCATTTCGAGATCAGTCTCCAAATGATTTTTTTTTCTGTTAAAATACTCAGCGGGAAAGTGTCTGGACATCATAAAAATGGATGGGAGAAACTATGTGAAGCTTCTCTGTACGATCTCACATACTCAAGGCAGACAACTGTGTAAAGAAAGCAGACTCTGGAGACACATGGTTTAGTTTGTTTTAAAATAAAAGCATTTCCCATTAACAATGCTATAGTTTTCAAACCAATAAACTTGTTACCTAACATCACATTTATTTCAAACTTCTTTTTAATTTCATTGCATTTCTTTCTTTGCATATGCAATATGAAATTAAAGAAAAGTTTGAAAAAAATTCAATAAAATAAGTACTACAGATTAGATAATATTTGAATTGTTGAATAAATTCAAATGTAAAATAATATAACATTATTATTAATCTAGATGCCAGTGTATCTCAGAGCATGCAGTGAATACAGTACTTTTTCTGTATCCCTAATCATAGAATTGTTAATTGAATAAAATGTTAATTACATAAATTTAAATAACTAACATTAAAGCATGCAGTATAAAATCAATTGTTTAATTACACAATAAGCATTTTCAGACATAAAATCACAATCAAAGTTAAATACTTATTCAATAATAATATATATAAACAATTAACTAAAAATATAAACAATTTTGAAGACATGTTTATATTCATTACTACAGAATTAATAGTTAATTTTTGTGTCTTAATAGCGAAGTTGAGGCCGAAGTTTTAAACGCAAAATCATGTATGTTGGACGTTCAGCGCCGCCCTAGAAGTTTGACAATGGTGTTTGGAATGTCGAATATGATTCCATTGACTATCCAAACACCATTGTCAGACTTCTAGGCTTACAGGAAAGCGGCGCTGAACGTCCGACACGTTTTCGTGTTTAAAACTTTGGCCTCAACCTTGCTAATATCATGTCTGAAGAAGCTTCTCAAGTAAAATCTTTTATTTAAAAAAAGTGTGAGGGCCAGGATTTAAGAAGGCCGAGATTCGAATAGTTATATTCATTTTGTTCATTCAATTTACCGTTTTGTTTCAAAACCAAACCGATTTTTTTAAGTTAGGGTTAACACAAAAAGAGAAAAACAACCGACAAATTTTCTCATAAAAATTGCTCATAAAATTCTGTTCCCACGGGGATACTTCCTTGCAGGGGATGAGTTAACTGTTGTGTCATAATTTTGTCATTTCGCCCACCATTGGTCAACGAAAATCATCACCTATGACGTACATGGGGAAATCTCGAAAAGAGAGCCCCCATATAAAAGACAAGTGTGATGATGACACAACTGGGGGAAAAAGTTATTTTCTATACTGTGTGTGTGTGTATTACCTGCCTCTCGTCGCCACCGTCTTCAATAGACTTTACAATCCGGACTTTGATTATGACTTGAACTTGGACTTTGAACTTTGGACTACATTACAAACCCAGGAGAACAAGAACCTACATCCATGTTATAACTAGAGGTATTTATTTTACTCACAATGATATGTAAGCTCTCTCCCGTATATTCCAAGCTCGCGGTTAGGGTCGCGACTAATTTATATTTTGCCCGCTACTTTATGAACTATACGGACTGAAACCCCCAAGAGGGATTTGTACCCTCGACTCTTCCAATAATTAACTATGTAAAAATGTATACTAATAAACAGGTATTTTGTTAATGAACTTGGATTGGTGTGCGTTTCTTCCGACATTATCCACTCCATACTGAACCCGAAGTCCTCAATGAGATCGCTCGTGATAATTCCCCATCAAATTAACCGCGTATCTATCCACGACGGAAATGATAGATTGGTGTCAGATACTGATGTGAAATAAAGATCTAGCAATCCTTAACGTTAAAACCCTTCCGCTCAAAAGAACCCATCCTTTAGACAAGCAAGACCAGACCTCAAGGTCTTGAGTCGAGTAAGAGGTAGGAGAGTCAAGAACTCGTAAACATCCTACCCCCGATTAGTCTCACAAAAGCATTTATTGTGAATGTCAAATTTAAAATCAGTTAATTGTGTAAAATAAATCAATTTAACAGAAAATAATATTTGTAATTGGAATCATATTCAAAATTATTATAAAAAATGCTAAATTCAAGAATCAAATACAAATTTTATTCAAAATCATTTTTGTTCTCTTAAAAACGAAAACGTTTCCGAATAAAATTTATTTTTGATTTCTGAATTTAGCATTTTTCTAGTAATTTTAAATCAATTTAATTGATTAAAATAAACGTAGCAATAAATACAATAAATAGTGAACAGTTATGTAATTATTTTAACCTTAATATTTACAATAAATTTATTTTATTTTTTCATTCATAAATATAATAATTTAAAAAAAATACAAACCCAAAATTCTTTCTTAACTGAATCATCATCTGATTCAGGTTCAATTAGTACTTTGGCAAACTTCCATGTTTCATTGGTAGATTGTTTAAACATTTCAACTTGACTTGCATCTGAATAATTATTACTTCTAAACACTCTAATTTCAGCTCCATTTGGAAATCCGTCTTTGATAAAATACCAAAACTTAAAACAAACTGAAGTGGTTGTAAACAGACGTTCCGACATAAGTATAGCTCTCTCTCTCTCCTGATGTGGAAATCGAGGATCGAGTATAAGATAATGTCCTATAAAATATTAATAGTTACAAAAATATTCATATTAAAAATAATTGACGAATGTATATGTTTTTATTTTCAGCTTAGTAAATATTACATTAAATTTATATCTGATCAAAAGTCTGGACATCAAAAAAGTGGATGGGAATATATGCTTATTTTCTTCTTTGTTTAAGTAAAATTAAATGTCCAGAAAACTTCAAAATCTGGCAAGATAATTTTATATACTAAATGTCTTTACAGGCATCTTCATGTTAATTGTCTAATAATCTACAGAAAAGTTTAAATCTATATTTAATCCATAATGATACATGTTAACCAGGGCCATGCTTATATATGAAAGAGAGAGGCAATTGCCTAAGAAGTCAAATTGGAAGGGATACTAAAAGGCATCATAATGCTTAGAAATATAAGTACTTGTACATTGATGCTGTTCTTAGGCTTTGCTCAGGCACCAAAATTATTCAAAATGTTCCTAATGTTAACCTTTTTATACATTAATTATATCTATATTTATAAATGTATTTCCACACTGTAGATGACAATTTCTTGTCATTAGCATAAATATATTCACTTTTTATAACTTTTTAATAAAAATTTGGTTTGAAAAAGGCTGAAAACATTTATTAAATAAACTTCTCTTGTTAGACTTAGAAGTTGTTGATATCAATACTTTTGACTTTATTTAATAAACATATAATACGAAACTTATGATAAAATTATTTATATGAGAAGAATAATTAATATTTTATTGTGAATTTTATAAATATTAAAAAATGAGGTATATATTTTGATTTTCAAGTATATTTCTATATATGATGTTATGACCCTAAAGACACACATGAGTTGGCAGTCTGGCTCATGTAACTACACCCCTCAACCATTTCACTGTTGGTCTAATGTGTGGTGAAGGTCTCTAAAGTTTGATATCAATTAAGTTTCAACCACTGAATCACCTCAGAAGTTGCCTTGTTAGTAGCTTTCAAGCCCCCTATTAGAGAATATATTTTTCATTTGTGAAAAAAAAAAAAAAACAGTTTTGTGCAGTCTTATCTCTTTTTCTCTAACTTTATAAAACATTTATCTCNTATATTAAATTTAGTAATTAAATAATTTAGAATATTCTGGAAGAAAAGATGATCTGGACCAAAATTTGCAAACCCATAATTTCTGCTTACTGTAATTTATTTTGTTCTAATTATTAAATTTAACACAAGACGTAACCAATTCTTATCTTTAGTTTCAAATTATATAGTATGTGTATATTAAGTAGACAAAATGCAGCATGATAACAAATTATTTGATTAGTAATGAGATTCATCTTGGTTTGTTATGAGTTTATGTATTGATACATCGATAATAGCAAAAATTGTTTAAAAATGAGCTAAAATAGAACAAAATATTGTAGAATAAATTTTTAAAACTCATTTTCAAAATCACGTGTGTAAACAGTAGTCCCATACAACACGCAAATAAAGCAAGCAACACCACAACATCCTCAAATTTTGTCGATCAGAGGTATACATTTTTTTCAACTTATAGGCCAAGGTTTAAACTTTCATAAATCATGTGATAATGCAGGTTTCAATAACGCAATTTCCTATAATAAGTAACAAATCCCTTGTGTTGTACGGGACTCTACTGTAATCTTTTCTTAAATTTATTCATATCTCCTGCATACAATATTAATTCTTTAAATAGAAATAGCAAGATATTTTAGAAGATTGCTATTTAAATATTTAAATTAAAAGGATAAAGAGAAATTTTTCTGAGGTTTGCTACAGAAAAATGTTTTAGGTAATAAAGATGGAGTCTAACCTAAAAGTATAAATGATGATTGAAGATAAAGATATAGATTCCCTAAAAATGCTCCAATTATTCTTTAATACAATTAAAAAATAACTTTTTATTAGCATCAAATTATTAACATAATAATTTTCTGAATTAATTAATTAATAATGACACAATATATTATACATACCGCTTCCGTCACTGTTTGTATGATCATGAACTGCACCAGAGTCACCTTCATTTTTTCGTCTTTTCCAACAGTATCCGGAGTTGGGGCATTGTGTATACCAACCACATTGTCCATTTTCAAAATCACATGCTCCACAGTCTTCTTCATCTTTACCAGTTGTACAATCTTTAATAAAATTGCAGACTTTTTCCATTAAAACTGTTTCTTTGTTACCGCAATCGAATAATTTTGGCCCGTCATCTAAATGAAATAACAAATAAAATAACATAAATACTTGATTCATCTATAAATGTTCAACATAAATGTATTAATTATGTAAATTACCTGAACAAGTGCCATCAGTGACTTCAAAATCATCAATAGCAGCAAATGAATATTGGTCTTGTCCAACAACTCCAACAACNTGAATCATCATCTGATTCAGGTTCAATTAGTACTTTGGCAAACTTCCATGTTTCATTGGTAGATTGTTTAAACATTTCAACTTGACTTGCATCTGAATAATTATTACTTCTAAACACTCTAATTTCAGCTCCATTTGGAAATCCGTCTTTGATAAAATACCAAAACTTAAAACAAACTGAAGTGGTTGTAAACAGACGTTCCGACATAAGTATAGCTCTCTCTCTCTCCTGATGTGGAAATCGAGGATCGAGTATGAGATAATGTCCTATAAAATATTAATAGTTACAAAAATATTCATATTAAAAATAATTGACGAATGTATATGTTTTTATTTTCAGCTTAGTAAATATTACATTAAATTTATATCTGATCAAAAGTCTGGACATCAAAAAAGTGGATGGGAATATATGCTTATTTTCTTCTTTGTTTAAGTAAAATTAAATGTCCAGAAAACTTCAAAATCTGGCAAGATAATTTTATATACTAAATGTCTTTACAGGCATCTTCATGTTAATTGTCTAATAATCTACAGAAAAGTTTAAATCTATATTTAATCCATAATGATACATGTTAACCAGGGCCATGCTTATATATGAAAGAGAGAGGCAATTGCCTAAGAAGTCAAATTGGAAGGGATACTAAAAGGCATCATAATGCTTAGAAATATAAGTACTTGTACATTGATGCCTGCATGTTATAAATGTTTAAATGATTTTCTGTATAATTTGTTCTTTTTATAGGCCTTCCTATTAGATAAGAATTTCAATATAAAACGCTCCAATATTTTTTTTATGATTTGAAAGAAAAAGATCTGGAAAAAAAACATTCAATTTATGTTCTTTTTCTACACTTTTCCCCCTTAAAACACATGTTAATGAATAAACAATAGGCTTTCCAATTAGCGCAGACTGATCAACATATATTGATCTTTTTTTTTACTTATAGTATTAATCAATGTTTCATGCTCCAATATTTATGAAGACTTGATTGTGCTTTCAAATAAAGGACATAAGCAAAAACATTACACCAAGCTATATCTTGCTTTGTTATGTATCAATTAAACACAAATGCACGAGAGTACTGGCAATTGGAAGTGAGTTATTCAATGGTAAAGTTACCATGTATCCCCAACCCCTGTTCTCATGGGCCAAATCCTACCTTGGTTCCTATAAAAGATAGCAGCATAGTTTATTACAAAGTTGTAGAGCATTTCGAGATCAGTCTCCAAATGATTTTTTTTTCTGTTAAAATACTCAGCGGGAAAGTGTCTGGACATCATAAAAATGGATGGGAGAAACTATGTGAAGCTTCTCTGTACGATCTCACATACTCAAGGCAGACAACTGTGTAAAGAAAGCAGACTCTGGAGACACATGGTTTAGTTTGTTTTAAAATAAAAGCATTTCCCATTAACAATGCTATAGTTTTCAAACCAATAAACTTGTTACCTAACATCACATTTATTTCAAACTTCTTTTTAATTTCATTGCATTTCTTTCTTTGCATATGCAATATGAAATTAAAGAAAAGTTTGAAAAAAATTCAATAAAATAAGTACTACAGATTAGATAATATTTGAATTGTTGAATAAATTCAAATGTAAAATAATATAACATTATTATTAATCTAGATGCCAGTGTATCTCAGAGCATGCAGTGAATACAGTACTTTTTCTGTATCCCTAATCATAGAATTGTTAATTGAATAAAATGTTAATTACATAAATTTAAATAACTAACATTAAAGCATGCAGTATAAAATCAATTGTTTAATTACACAATAAGCATTTTCAGACATAAAATCACAATCAAAGTTAAATACTTATTCAATAATAATATATATAAACAATTAACTAAAAATATAAACAATTTTGAAGACATGTTTATATTCATTACTACAGAATTAATAGTTAATTTTTGTGTCTTAATAGCGAAGTTGAGGCCGAAGTTTTAAACGCAAAATCATGTATGTTGGACGTTCAGCGCCGCCCTAGAAGTTTGACAATGGTGTTTGGAATGTCGAATATGATTCCATTGACTATCCAAACACCATTGTCAGACTTCTAGGCTTACAGGAAAGCGGCGCTGAACGTCCGACACGTTTTCGTGTTTAAAACTTTGGCCTCAACCTTGCTAATATCATGTCTGAAGAAGCTTCTCAAGTAAAATCTTTTATTTAAAAAAAGTGTGAGGGCCAGGATTTAAGAAGGCCGAGATTCGAATAGTTATATTCATTTTGTTCATTCAATTTACCGTTTTGTTTCAAAACCAAACCGATTTTTTTAAGTTAGGGTTAACACAAAAAGAGAAAAACAACCGACAAATTTTCTCATAAAAATTGCTCATAAAATTCTGTTCCCACGGGGATACTTCCTTGCAGGGGATGAGTTAACTGTTGTGTCATAATTTTGTCATTTCGCCCACCATTGGTCAACGAAAATCATCACCTATGACGTACATGGGGAAATCTCGAAAAGAGAGCCCCCATATAAAAGACAAGTGTGATGATGACACAACTGGGGGAAAAAGTTATTTTCTATACTGTGTGTGTGTGTATTACCTGCCTCTCGTCGCCACCGTCTTCAATAGACTTTACAATCCGGACTTTGATTATGACTTGAACTTGGACTTTGAACTTTGGACTACATTACAAACCCAGGAGAACAAGAACCTACATCCATGTTATAACTAGAGGTATTTATTTTACTCACAATGATATGTAAGCTCTCTCCCGTATATTCCAAGCTCGCGGTTAGGGTCGCGACTAATTTATATTTTGCCCGCTACTTTATGAACTATACGGACTGAAACCCCCAAGAGGGATTTGTACCCTCGACTCTTCCAATAATTAACTATGTAAAAATGTATACTAATAAACAGGTATTTTGTTAATGAACTTGGATTGGTGTGCGTTTCTTCCGACATTATCCACTCCATACTGAACCCGAAGTCCTCAATGAGATCGCTCGTGATAATTCCCCATCAAATTAACCGCGTATCTATCCACGACGGAAATGATAGATTGGTGTCAGATACTGATGTGAAATAAAGATCTAGCAATCCTTAACGTTAAAACCCTTCCGCTCAAAAGAACCCATCCTTTAGACAAGCAAGACCAGACCTCAAGGTCTTGAGTCGAGTAAGAGGTAGGAGAGTCAAGAACTCGTAAACATCCTACCCCCGATTAGTCTCACAAAAGCATTTATTGTGAATGTCAAATTTAAAATCAGTTAATTGTGTAAAATAAATCAATTTAACAGAAAATAATATTTGTAATTGGAATCATATTCAAAATTATTATAAAAAATGCTAAATTCAAGAATCAAATACAAATTTTATTCAAAATCATTTTTGTTCTCTTAAAAACGAAAACGTTTCCGAATAAAATTTATTTTTGATTTCTGAATTTAGCATTTTTCTAGTAATTTTAAATCAATTTAATTGATTAAAATAAACGTAGCAATAAATACAATAAATAGTGAACAGTTATGTAATTATTTTAACCTTAATATTTACAATAAATTTATTTTATTTTTTCATTCATAAATATAATAATTTAAAAAAAATACAAACCCAAAATTCTTTCTTAACTGAATCATCATCTGATTCAGGTTCAATTAGTACTTTGGCAAACTTCCATGTTTCATTGGTAGATTGTTTAAACATTTCAACTTGACTTGCATCTGAATAATTATTACTTCTAAACACTCTAATTTCAGCTCCATTTGGAAATCCGTCTTTGATAAAATACCAAAACTTAAAACAAACTGAAGTGGTTGTAAACAGACGTTCCGACATAAGTATAGCTCTCTCTCTCTCCTGATGTGGAAATCGAGGATCGAGTATAAGATAATGTCCTATAAAATATTAATAGTTACAAAAATATTCATATTAAAAATAATTGACGAATGTATATGTTTTTATTTTCAGCTTAGTAAATATTACATTAAATTTATATCTGATCAAAAGTCTGGACATCAAAAAAGTGGATGGGAATATATGCTTATTTTCTTCTTTGTTTAAGTAAAATTAAATGTCCNCCGAGAGTGCCGTTGCCAAAAATGACAATTAAAATATTTTGTTAAAATTATATATATTTACTGGTAATCTTGGAAAGAATCTTGACTGGCATCTATAGCTACTGAAATTGGACCAATGATTGCTACAGCTTGTTTCAAGGCTTCTTCGTCATATTTATGAACATCCACGAAATTGGTACAAGTAGCACCCACAGACGAACGTTTAAATCTGCATTCCTTCTCCTGAAGGAAATTAAAAGAAATTACACACAATTCTCTTTTTAGGAACTGCATATGTTCCTGAAATGTTCGTGTAAAAGTATTGAAACGTGCAAGAATTATTTTTGCACCAATTATGTACGCTGATGCAATTATTTCGCGGCCAGATGGCCGAGCGGTCAAGGTGGCAGCCTACCGCTCTGGGGGACCCGGGCTCGAATCCAAACGGGTCGAAAAATCCCCAGGAATTTTTCGGGGGGTGGTCCGTTCGGATATGTCAGGCCCCGTCCCTCGCCACCGGCAGCCCCATTATGGGCCTGACCGAACCCATAATGGGCTTGCAAAAAGAGGCCATCTTAGTGCTCACAGGGCGGAAAGAGTTAATTTTTTTAAAAAATGCAATTATTTCATGATACACTTTACGAGTTAACCGAAATATATTTTATGCAATACCTTACTACATTGTGTAAGAAACATTAAAACACCAATTAAGCTGTGTTTTTCGATTATAATCTCCGGAATTTTTATTCTAATTTTACAATATGTTTATTAATTTCTGATATATTCTAATATTTGCCATGATAAATGTTAATCACGTAATCCGTGTCATAATTGATAAATCATTTAGGTCTACTCTAATAACAAAATAAAGCCCATTCTCATAAATTATGATATCTTTTAGTAAAGTTATCCGATAATATTATAATCCTTTCGAAAGCTTTTAAAATCTCTCGAATAATTTGACAATTTCGTGTGTCATTTCACAAGTATTTTTTACATTTTGAAATCTTGAACTATTTGTTGTAAATTTTGCAATATTTCTACAATCCTTCGCTCACATAAACAACAAGAGTTGCAAAATAAAATAAAGATTAAAAATGACAATTTATTTAAACGTGTCAAACCGTGTAAAAACAAAAGTACTGTATCTGTAATAATATGAAAAAATAAGGTTAGTATAGCATAATTATGAAAAGATTCTCACCGTAGATTCGTACGGATAAGAATCTTCCGTGTCGATGCCTTTATTTGCCATTACATAGATAAATGCCTGATCCATCAGTCCTCCATAGCAACCTTCATTACCTTTATAATAAACAATAATTAAAGATTATTCTCTTTTGTATTTTAATATAAAATATCGTACTTGATGCTTTTGTTTGAAAAATGCAAGATTAGAGTACTGTATAGCAAATCCCGAGGCTTAATACACTTTGCCTTCAGTATTTTATTGTGAATTTTATAAATATTAAAAAATGAGGTATATATTTTGATTTTCAAGTATATTTCTATATATGATGTTATGACCCTAAAGACACACATGAGTTGGCAGTCTGGCTCATGTAACTACACCCCTCAACCATTTCACTGTTGGTCTAATGTGTGGTGAAGGTCTCTAAAGTTTGATATCAATTAAGTTTCAACCACTGAATCACCTCAGAAGTTGCCTTGTTAGTAGCTTTCAAGCCCCCTATTAGAGAATATATTTTTCATTTGTGAAAAAAAAAAAAAAACAGTTTTGTGCAGTCTTATCTCTTTTTCTCTAACTTTATAAAACATTTATCTCATGATATTTTTGTGATTATCTTGCATGACCTCTATCCTTACAGCTTACTGAATCAACTTTGAACTTCAATTTACAAATCAAACAATATTAAAAAAATAGCTAATAGTGAATCACAACTTGGCAACACTAAAAAGATATAAAAAATTATATTTTCATACCATTGTTTAATGTTATTAAAGTTTATGTTCTCTTTATGTATGTATATAATTCGTCTCTGTAATCCAAAAAATTTGGTAGACGGACTCACAGCAAAATGTTTTGCTGTGAGTCCGTCTACCGAATTTTTTGGATTACAGAGATGAATTATATACATAGTAACATACAGCAGTCCAGTTATATAATTCTCTTTAGCTTCTTTTAATGTGTTACTAATATACTTTCTTGTTTCTTCTTTAAATATTTTCTAGTTTTCTTTTGCACATTTATGAATATATATTGTTACTTATTTTCTTCTATTGGATTAAACTAGTATTTAGCCCTAATTTGACTATGTTCCAGTATCACATCATATCATTTCCAATTAAACCATTTATTGCACTTATTACTCATTTGTTTGCTGCATGGAGGACCTCATCATAGATAAACAAATTAATAAAGATTATTTTATATTATTATTGAAGGAAGAGTTGATATGATCATTTGGGTAGTGTCCTGATCCGCATATACAGGTAGCCGTTCTGTGTATTATACCTCCAATTTTTAATGTCATTATTAAGTTTGGATCTGTAAATGAGATATGATAGTCTATGAAACATTTAAAGATTATTAAAGAGATTATATGATGTTTTTATGGTACATTTTAATTCAAAGAAAACATTTCTATATTTTATTTTAAAACAATTTGAAATTTTTAATTAAACCTTCTTTGCCAATAGTATGATCGGAATTAGGTCCAAATGCAGTTTCTGCTACATGTCGAAGCCAGTCCAAATTATCATCCAACATGCTCACATACTGGACTCCTATTAAAATAATTTAAATTTAGTTTATGTTACATTAGATAAAATAAAAGACTTCAAACCATTTGAGCAAAAACATTCTATTATTTTCATAGATAAATTTTAAATGAAATATTTATTTCAAACCTCTTCTTAACTATTAATATAAAAAAATAAATTTACTCACCTGTCACATTATGATTTCTTTTTATATTGCTTGATAATTTTGAATTTATATCACTAACAATATTTTGCCATAAACATAAATCATCCTCAAAATCACAGTCACCTATAATTTAAGAAACAAATTTAAAAAAATAATAAGTTGTTTCTTTGAAAATATAAACAATTTTTCTTAATTTTAATTAATGTATACAATTCTACCATTTAAAAATAAAATCTGAAATCTGTTTTTAATGGAGAAAATTTTTTCATTAAATTAAAAAACTTGAACATTTCATTTTTTAAGATTTTTTTTCTTCATTAGTTAAGTGTCATTTGAAACATAAGATGTTTATTTCATTATAAAAATATATCTAATATGTTCTTATTCATTTTGCGTAAGAATATAAGCTTATGTAATGAAGTGAATATTTAATGTTCTAATATAATAAAAGTAGTTTTTACTTTCTTAGCTTTTCATTAATTCTAAAGTAAAGATATTTTAAATAATTTAAGCGTTAAAACTGTAAAAAATACTTAAAATTCATTCTTTGAAATCATTTTATTATTATTGGAGATAACATTAAAGTTTAAAATTAAAATATTATTCACTTACATAAAAGTTTTATTTTTGACCATGTTTTAAATTTATATATCAGAAATAACAATCAAATTATTTAATTTCGAGCATATTTTGAAGTATTGAACAGATTAATATTTTAGTTTTAAAACAAATATTTATAGACTCTATATTTATAACTATTTTTCAAAGAACTGCATAAAACTTAATACAATTTTTGAAAATATAAAAATAAATTATTATTTAAAAAATTATTTTATCTTACTTTTCTACCTCATTTTTGTACTGTGTGGCTCGTGACTAAACAAATAATGAAAAAAAGTTTACGACAAATTTTTTAAAATTGTTCTTTGTTGCCTGCCCACCCCAATTTCAGAGAACAAGTTTATTGGATACAGGTCAAACAGTACATTAAAATATACAATAAATACCAAAATATTTATTGAAAAAAATTTTTCAATCATATTCCAAAATTTCAATCTAATTGTCGTGGAGGTCTACCATAATGTTTTCTTTGTCTCCTCTATCAATCCCTTTATCCCGTGTTCTATCCAATTTTTGTAAACTTGTCCAGACCAGATCTTTTCTTATATGAAGCTGAGGTGGACTCCTGCTGGGAAAGACTGCTCTGGAGAGTACAATGAAGGCAGCCTGGAAAGACTGATGAAGAAAGGAACTTCACTTTTCACTGGGACACAAACTGGAGCAGAAGTGGAAAGGGTGTCAGGAAGAAAGCATTGAGACGCTTTTGAAGATGACTCAGACATTTTGTTGAAGGGATAGTAAACAGAGATTTATCTTTCGACTGAGTCCAGATGAAAAGATCCCGTGAGGAACATTCTAGAAAATGACAGACACTGGAGCTGAGTGTAATCTGTCCCCTGCTGGCAAGAAGTTTTTTGTTTTGCCTCCTTAATTTTGTAATTATAAAATTCATTGTGTCATATTTATTATTACTTGTATCATTGTTAATTACTAGAATTAAGTCCACAGTAGCTTTATTGTAATTAGTTTTAAGTGTGCATGCTGGTGTTAGCACAGTCAAGAAGCCAAGTATTGTCTCACTGAAAGCTTGGGACTCGTAAGAAACTTTGTATGCTTTGGAATATTAAATTACTGGTTTTTTGTTAAGGTTAATCTTTTGTGTCACATTTTGTCTTCACATCCCCAACAAAACACCCATAAACTTTGTAATCTCACATGGTAAATTATTGTAATTTCAACTTGTTAATTTTACATTCTATTTTTTGAATTATATCTAACTTCTGGTTGGAAATTTGATGCTGGACTATATTAGTCTGAAAATATAGTGGGTGATCGGTTAATGAACAGATCAGATAACGAACACTTTCACGAAAGATTTTTATGATCGGACAACGAACACTTCACTGAACAAACACGAGAAGAAGTGATGTAAAATAACGAATACCAATTGGTCTTCCTTTGTCTTCAGGCAACAATTTAAAACTTTTCGGAGCGCGGGAGACGTTGACATTGACATTCAACCCAGTATATACTGATCGGATAGTATTCCCCCGAACTTTGAAACTCCTCCCTTGTAATTCCAGCCTTTTATATTTCTGATAGAAACAATTCTTTTACGTTTTCTTCTGAAAAAGCAGATTTATGCTGATATCTGCTATTAAAGATCTTTTGAAGAAGTGGGAGGATGTCAGAACAATGGTCTTAAAATGGCATCCAAACCAGGTTGAGGTTAATAGGCTTAGGGATCTCTACAATTACAATGCAATTAATTACTTCTGAAAAATCATGAAGACAGATCAGATAACAAACACTTTCACGAAAGATTTTTATGATCGGACAACGAACACTTCACTGAACAAACACGAGAAGAAGTGATGTAAAATAACGAATACCAATTGGTCTTCCTTTGTCTTCAGGCAACAATTTAAAACTTTTCGGAGCGCGGGAGACGTTGACATTGACGTTCAACCCAGTATATACTGATCGGATAGTATTCCCCCGAACTTTGAAACTCCTCCCTTGTAATTCCAGCCTTTTATATTTCTGATAGAAACAATTCTTTTACGTTTTCTTCTGAAAAAGCAGATTTATGCTGATATCTGCTATTAAAGATCTTTTGAAGAAGTGGGAGGATGTCAGAACAATGGTCTTAAAATGGCATCCAAACCAGGTTGAGGTTAATAGGCTTAGGGATCTCTACAATTACAATGCAATTAATTACTTCTGAAAAATCATGAAGACAGATCAGATAACAAACACTTTCACGAAAGATTTTTATGATCGGACAACGAACACTTCACTGAACAAACACGAGAAGAAGTGATGTAAAATAACGAATACCAATTGGTCTTCCTTTGTCTTCAGGCAACAATTTAAAACTTTTCGGAGCGCGGGAGACGTTGACATTGACGTTCAACCCAGTATATACTGATCGGATAGTATTCCCCCGAACTTTGAAACTCCTCCCTTGTAATTCCAGCCTTTTATATTTCTGATAGAAACAATTCTTTTACGTTTTCTTCTGAAAAAGCAGATTTATGCTGATATCTGCTATTAAAGATCTTTTGAAGAAGTGGGAGGATGTCAGAACAATGGTCTTAAAATGGCATCCAAACCAGGTTGAGGTTAATAGGCTTAGGGATCTCTACAATTACAATGCAATTAATTACTTCTGAAAAATCATGAAGACAGATCAGATAACAAACACTTTCACGAAAGATTTTTATGATCGGACAACGAACACTTCACTGAACAAACACGAGAAGAAGTGATGTAAAATAACGAATACCAATTGGTCTTCCTTTGTCTTCAGGCAACAATTTAAAACTTTTCGGAGCGCGGGAGACGTTGACATTGACGTTCAACCCAGTATATACTGATCGGATAGTATTCCCCCGAACTTTGAAACTCCTCCCTTGTAATTCCAGCCTTTTATATTTCTGATAGAAACAATTCTTTTACGTTTTCTTCTGAAAAAGCAGATTTATGCTGATATCTGCTATTAAAGATCTTTTGAAGAAGTGGGAGGATGTCAGAACAATGGTCTTAAAATGGCATCCAAACCAGGTTGAGGTTAATAGGCTTAGGGATCTCTACAATTACAATGCAATTAATTACTTCTGAAAAATCATGAAGACAGATCAGATAACAAACACTTTCACGAAAGATTTTTATGATCGGACAACGAACACTTCACTGAACAAACACGAGAAGAAGTGATGTAAAATAACGAATACCAATTGGTCTTCCTTTGTCTTCAGGCAACAATTTAAAACTTTTCGGAGCGCGGGAGACGTTGACATTGACGTTCAACCCAGTATATACTGATCGGATAGTATTCCCCCGAACTTTGAAACTCCTCCCTTGTAATTCCAGCCTTTTATATTTCTGATAGAAACAATTCTTTTACGTTTTCTTCTGAAAAAGCAGATTTATGCTGATATCTGCTATTAAAGATCTTTTGAAGAAGTGGGAGGATGTCAGAACAATGGTCTTAAAATGGCATCCAAACCAGGTTGAGGTTAATAGGCTTAGGGATCTCTACAATTACAATGCAATTAATTACTTCTGAAAAATCATGANTTTGAAAATCGCGTAACTCCGAGTTTGCATAAGTCGGGGTAGCGTAAGTCGAGGTATTAGTGTATATATATATATAGAATTTAAATATTTTATAACACTAATAACATAAAAAATAAAATTTACTTAAGTACTTTCAGATTGACAATAAGAATCTTTAGGGGATGCTTATTGTCAATCTGAAAGCTTAACAACAAGAGGATGGACAATCATAATTTAAAATTAATTAAACAAAAAAAACACTGTAGATCCAATAACATTTCACATCAGGATGAATGGAAATAAACAAAATAGAGTAACATCTTGGCAACTGAATTACATTAAATAAAATGTTAAAAATTGTAAATGATAAAAAATCCAAAATCCAATAAGAGTGTTTTTTGATGTAGTTGTTGGATGATGATAAATTAAAAAGGCATTTTATCTGACACTACATCTAAGCTCAAAGTATTCACTTCCTATAAATGTTAATTCACTGGCACTGAATTTATATAATATAATGTTTATTATAAAATTTTAAACTTTATCATTTATGATCTGAAATAAAATGTTTAAAATCTTCTGTCAAAACAATCAACATATTTAAAAAAAGGACATGGCTATTTATACATACAGTATGTATACTCAATTGGCTATTTATACATACTGACTGTATGTTCCTATATTCTGGCCGGATACTGACTGTATGCGCTGTTATTACAATTAATATTTTGATAATAACTACGAAATTATAAACAATTATAGTTTTTATTTATTAAAGTTCAGTTACAATGTTGTACAATAAAGTAATTGATAAACTAAGAAGTGTCATTAAATCAGTGAAATATAGGTAATGAAATTTAAAGTAGATTGGTAGGTATACCAATAAAGTAAAATAAATATATTATTTTTTATTCTGTATTTTAATTTTTTTTGTAAAAAGTGGTCTGCTTAGTCTTTTTCTTTGGATTTAATTTTAGTTTTTATTTTTAAGTTTTTCTTTGATTGATTTAAACAGGGCTCGTTATTAGACCAAATTTGTTCTTCAGGTTCTTCTGGTTCAATTGTACTGAGTCCACTATTCTTGTGTTCAAAAAGAGAAATTCCATTTCTTGCATTGCTTTCTATTACTTTTAATTCCTCTACATATTTATTGAAGGTTTGCGTTCCATAATTAGACAAAATATCTGCAATATTTTTAGTTATCGCCAGTGCCGTATTAAATTTTTCCCTGTCTGATAATATTTTGTTGAGTCAATCAAAATCATCAGTAAAAGTTTCATCTTCAATATGATCATCGATGTCTACATTTAGTGCATTTTCAATTGAAATAATATATCTTACACGAAAGCAAGTTTTTGAAAATATGTCCAAATTATTATATTTTCTTATCATAAGAATATGACAACATGGTGCACTAAAAGAATTCCAAAATGAACAAGAACATGTTTCCACCGATGTACTATAAAATTTTGATATTTTGCTATCAAGATTTTCTTCAATGCCATTATTTTTAATTCTCATTTCGCGATAATCAATATCATAATTAGGATATCCTAAATTATAAATAACATTTAAACTATCATCTTTACGTCTTGGCTGTAAAAGGGTTAAATAGCCAATTGAGTATACATATCATGTATAAATAGCCAATTGCATATACACACTGTATGTATAAATAGCCACTTTGCAAAAAAAAAGACTAAATAAAGAATAAAAATATTCTTATTTTTGATGCAAGCTAATAATGATGAGTATATTTTCTTTCAGATATTACATAATTTTACTAATAAAATTTACCTGCCAATTTGTTGTGCGTGGTGTTACAGAAAATTGTGCTCCATGCCATAAACCTCCTTCATCTGATGAAACGCTCCAAACTGGATCCCCATAACCAGATGAAGTATATATGTAAGCATTCAATCTTTCTTTCCTGACTTTGTATAAATGATACCAAAATTTAACACAACTGCCTTCAGTTGGTGGATGTTGAGGTGAAATTAAGCGAGATCTTTTATTCCACATATCTTTTGTCAAATTATTAAGCGATAAATACATGAATTTTCCTATTTAAGAAATCAAAATTTAAATTAAAATATGCATTTTCAAATTAAATATTAATACTAAATAAAAATAAATATATATATATATATA